AGAACGAGAAGACAGGTAGAAGGTCCCTCAGCCCAACTCTTTATCTTTCCTACCCAAAAATTTGTAACTGGTATGACATTAATATACTTTCTCTCAATAAAGAGTTAACGTAAAATAGATGAAAAAAATTTGAGATAAGCTTTCCTAGAAAAAAAAAATTACGCGCCCTATAATTTTAAAGAAGAGAGGCTCAGGGGCCATATCGCTGGCCTGAGTAATAATAGCCAACTCACTACCTTTGGGAACAAGACAACCCCTTAAAATCTTTGGGAACAAGACAACCCCCAAAAATCTTTAAAACGTCTATATCTCAGACCCTGAAGTGACGCCATCACCGAAAAGTTATCCAACCAGGTTCAAATAATCATTTATCATACCAAAATATTGACGAAGCCGTGGGCATTTTTTTTTTCAATGCGTTAACTTGGTCCCAAATTTAACGCACTTTCAAAACATTTTTCAAAGTGCGTTGTAACACGTTTGATACTGTTTGAATGAAAGCGCTAAAGATTAGCTCAATAATCTAATTGATGAACTTATATATATATATATATATATATATATATATATATATATATATATATATATATATATATATATATATAGTATATATAAAATTTGTAACATATTGATTTGTTTTGCTCAAGTAATCAATATTCATTCATATACAAAAATTACTAAAGAAAAAAGACAGTAACATTCTGCGTGAATTTTATTTTCATTTCAATAAACAAGAAAAAAAGAAAGCGATGAAACATGTGTTTCCACACATAAATAATCCCCTAAACCAGATGTCACAAATTCTTTTCGCATTGTTACCATCATCGAAACTAGCACTTAATTCACCACCGTTATTCAAAAATCTGATTTTATAGGCACCGGCCGAAAAGGACAACAATGAAGAGACATGCATGATTATGACAAGTTTGTGGCGCCCGATTTGATATTTATTGCCAATGAGTGATATATTCAGAATATTCAGATTAGTGATTTTACCTAATCAATTAAAACAAGAGGCCCAGGGGCCACATCGCTCACCTGAGCACTATGGCGAGGAAAAAGCAGAAATCACTTCAATCTTAAAGGTTGAAAAGTTTAAATATAAAAGTGGTTGGGGGGGGGGGTGTCATGAATTGAACAAATTTGAATCTACATTATCTGAGGATGCTTCCATTTAAATATGACAAATCATGGCTTTGCTGTTCTTGAGTAGAAGATTTTTAAAGATTTAACCTATGTATTCCTATGTAAAACTTTGATCACACATTGTGGCACCACCCGACCCCCAGGGGTCATGTTTGAACAAACTTGAATGTACACTATCTAAGAATGCTTCCATATAAATATGACCAATCATGGCTTTGCTATTCTTAACAAATAGTTTTTTTAAAGATTTTTACTATGTGTTCCAATGTAAAACTTTGATCGCCCATTTAGGCCCCACCCGACCCCCGGGGGTCATGATTCGAACAAATTTGTATGTACACTATCTAAGGATGCTACCATATAAATATGACCAATCATGGCTTTGTTATTCTTAACAAATTGTTTTTTTTTTTTTTTTAGAATATTTACTATGTGTTCCAATGTAAAACTTTGATCGCCCATTGTGGCCCCATCCGACCCCCGGGGGTCATGATTTGAACAAATTTGAATGCACACTATCTGACGATGCTACCATATAAATATGACCAATCATGGCTTTGCTGTTCTTGAGAAGAAGATTTTTACTATGTGTTCCTATGTAAAACTTCGATCGCCCATTGTGGCCCCACCCGACCCCCGGGGGTCATGAGTTGAATAAATTTGAATGTACACTATCTGAGGATGCTTCCATGTAAATATGACCAATCATGGCTTTGCTGTTCTTGAGAAGAAGATTTTTAAAGATTTTTCCTATATATTCCTATGTAAAACTTTGATCGCCCATTGTGGTCCCACCCGACCCCCGGGGGTCATGAGTTGAACAAACTTGAATCTACACTACCTGAGGATGCTACCATATAAATATGACCAATGATGGCTTTGCTGTTCTTGAGAAGAAGATTTTTCCTATATATTCCTATGTAAAACTTTGATCGCCCATTGTGGCCCCACCCGACCCCCGGGGGTCATGATTTGAACAAACTTGAATCTACACTATCTGAGGATGCTACCATATGAATATGACCAATTATGGCTTTGCTGTTCTTGAGAAGAAGATTTTTAAAGATTTTTCCTGTATATTTCCTATGTAAAACTTTGATCGCCCATTGTGGCCCCACCCTACCCCCGGGGGTCATGATTTGAACAAACTTGAATCTACACTACCTGATGATGCTTCCAAGTAAATATGACCAATGATGGCTTTGCTGTTCTTGAGAAGAAGATTTTTCCTATATATTCCTATGTAAAACTTTGATCGCCCATTGTGGCCCCACCCGACCCCCGGGGGTCATGATTTGAACAAACTTGAATCTACACTATCTGAGGATGCTACCATATGAATATGACCAATTATGGCTTTGCTGTTCTTGAGAAGAAGATTTTTAAAGATTTTTCCTGTATATTTCCTATGTAAAACTTTGATCGCCCATTGTGGCCCCACCCTACCCCCGGGGGTCATGATTTGAACAAACTTGAATCTACACTACCTGATGATGCTTCCAAGTAAATATGACCAATCATGGCTTTGCTGTTCTTGAGAAGAAGATTTTTCCTATATATTCCTATGTAAAACTTTGATCGCCCATTGTGGCCCCACCCGACCCCCGGGGGTCATGATTTGAACAAACTTGAATCTACACTATCTGAGGATGCTACCATATGAATATGACCAATTATGGCTTTGCTGTTCTTGAGAAGAAGATTTTTAAAGATTTTTCCTGTATATTTCCTATGTAAAACTTTGATCGCCCATTGCGGCCCCACCCTACCCCCGGGGGTCATGATTTGAACAAACTTGAATCTACACTATCTGAGGATGCTTCCACATAAGTTTCATGTTTTCAAGCACAGTGGTTCTTAAGAAGAAGATTTTTTAATGATGCCATTAATTTTTCACGAATTCTTAATTATCTCCCCTTGGAAGAAGGCGTGGCCCTTCATTTGAACAAACTTGAATCCCCTTTACCCAAGGATATTTTGTGGCAAGTTTGGTTGAAATTGGCCCAGTGGTTCTTGAGAAGAAGTCGAAAATGTGAAAAGTTTACAGACGGACGGACGGACTACAGACAAAATGTGATCAGAAAAGCTCACTTGAGCCTTCGGTTCAGGTGAGCTAAAAAATGATACCAACTATAGATTCGGATAAGCGATCATGCAGCTATCCAAATGGGAGATATCACAAGTTCAGATCATAATTAGGCCCTTGGTTTCAGGATGGTTTATTTTGTGTAAATATGATATTTTTAAAATTTCAGCGATTTCAAATAGATTGTATGTGAATCTTAATGTTTTAAATTAATAAGAATACTTGATTAGCTAAGATTCTTAGTGTGAACAATACAAGAGAAATCAATAACCTTTAAGAAATTTATGTTGCATAATTTGACGCCGTGATTTTGTGACAGTTGTATATTTCTGTAATAATTTGTATAGCATAATTATAAAGCGTAATATGATATTTTTCTGGCTCTCTCTCTCTCTCTGCCTGGGAAGTCACTGACTAACTGGGACGATCAAAGTTCTGTAGCATAAAAGAAAAGTTTTGTATGTCGGCCAGAGCTATATGTAATCATTAAACTGATGTAGCTAGATCACCCCTACTTATAATTGGTTTATAATTAAAATATACCAGGTAGGTCGGTTTTTTCCCATTTCGCCTTAACTGTAAAATTTCCTATTCCCATTTCGCCTTCGTACCTTCTGGGGTTTATTAGGGCGAAATGGGAACTTGTGTAAACATATAATTATGCGTATAAGTAATGCTTGTATTGCATAGCAAAATTTCAAAGATTGCAGAGATTTCAAATTATTTGCTCACAGTGAAAAAAAAAATGATACAAAACCTGAAAAAAAAATTGATGAAAAAGGTGAATAGAGTCAATAGACTCTAAGCATAAAAATTACTGTAGAATACTGACTTAATACATTTAAGATTTACATGAAACATTTAATCTATACTTAAGTATTTTCTAAGACACTACATCCATAAAATAATTCACATTTTCATGAATAATTTTTGCAAATTTCTTATTTTTTAATTGTACAGTGACTCTAGAGACTTTAATGATAATTAATATTTACATATTACTATTTTTTTTATTTTACATCCAAAATATTTTTTTAACAGTGTAATTAACCTATCAGTAAAAAAAACATCTAATTAATTTACAGTTATTGTTTTTACAAAGGAATAATCAAATTCCCACTTCGCCTTACAACTTTTTCACATTATTTTACTTACATATTTTTCACAGTTAAGGCGAAATGGGAACACACCGATAGGTCCCTATATACACGTATAGATCTACTATAGATATATTTATTTACCAATTAATTTGGAGAGTTTCTTTGTATTAACTTAAGATCTTTAAGGAGAAGTGATTTAGAAGATAAAAGTAAAAAAAGGCCAACATTCAAGTTGGATTTGAGGGAAAATAAAATTACATTGTATAGATGAATATGGCTCATTGGTTTATTTTATGTCAATGTATATACGTATTTATATGCAAGAAATTTAAGAAAATATGATACAGATTCACAATATAACAAGTTTTTTGTTCCAAAAGTTCCCACGACTGGGGTGCTGGTGTCAAATCGACGAAGTGGCGAAACGCCTCTCAACTGCGTATTTCTCCCATGAAGAGTTGTCGTTCGTTCTTCTCTCAGACATGACATGATACGATGTAAAGAGTGATTGCACGAAATTCTCAAAAGCAGTGATAGCTTACCTGCAAAATTTTCTACTTTTTGCAATAAAAAGTAACAAATTGATATAAAATGATATACTTAGGGCTTACAGGTTGTAGCGTAAAAAAAGTTTTATTTGGGAATACCATGTAGCCTCGCTATCGATCGCGGAGCATGTCACGAGAGTGACGTCATTCGGTTTGCTATGGAGTGAGAAAATCCCACAGGAAAATTAAGTTTATTTGATAAAGCACTGGGTGTTTTCTCTATGTACGACTGAGTATGCAGTGTTAGCATATTATAGAATACATCTCCTTCAACATTCTTTCGGTTTTTAATCGAAAAGTACAAAATGCAAGACGGACGCTAGGAGCCCTCGGAGGACACTTTCGGGATGCCACGTAGAAAATCGCTTGGTGTTGAAACATTGATAGACCGTATGTATGCAGTCAAATATTTAAGACCATTATATGCTTTTACTTATGTTTCTCTTTGTGAACTTGGTAGATGTATATTATTACTAAATTCAAAACATATCTTTATTGGGGAAACACCTTCGGTTATCAGGGGTTCCCCAGGCATGTCACGTGATGAGCAGAATTTTACAGGATTTTCCATTTCATTATTGACTGAACATTCTCTGTCTATCCAAATTCCAATACCCCTGAATACCTTTGAATAGGGCACACATATTTTGTATGCATTTATCATTTATATCAGTATCATCTTTAGAATGTCTGTGTTTAAACAGAGACATAAATTACATTTTATTTATGTCTCTGGTGAATATTTATAAGCTGAAAAAGTAAAAGGTTATATATGTGTACAAGTATTTTCAATTTAAAAAAAACTTGTCTAGATAAAGTATATTTTAAAATAAATAATGTTTAATAAATAAAAATTTGCAAATTAATTTACAATTATTGTGCTAAAACAATATATTATTTTTAATATATTAATTATACTACATGAAAGCTTTAATATTTCCTAGTTGTAGTAATTTTAAAAAATATTTTTTATTACTTTTTTTAAAAAAATAATTTATTGACTTGTATGTGCAGATGGTGAGACAGAAGGGGAACAACTGACAGAAAGTTTATCAGTGGGAGAAAAGGGAGACAATATAGCAGATAATGAAGCATACGAAAAAGGTATTGATTTGAAAATTTATCAGAAAGACAGTTTCATAGCTAGGCTCTTTTGGTGACATTTTAGATGACAGTTGAGTCAATGTGCTCTTTCATTATAGTTAACATATGCATGGTTAATGGTTTTTATGTTAAATAACAATTAACTGAAAAATATAAATTAATTAACCTAAAACAGGTATACTACCACTCATGTTGATGCAAGCCTTTATAACTCAGTAAAAATTGTTGTACTCAACAAACATGTATATACATGTGGCAGGATTCTAGTATATATAGGTTTCTGATTTCCCATCTTTTAACCAAAGGGTCAGAATATATATAGGCACCAATTTATTTAAAAAATAAATAAACACATTGTATCTCAATAGTAATTTAAAAATTACTATGTGATCCACTGTATATATACAGTAAAACCCCATTATCTCAAACTTGACGGGACAAAGGAAAAACTTCGAGATATATGAGGATTTGAGATATCAAGGGTAAAATTCTTCAAGAATAAGTAGTTGAGACTTCCACATCAGTTCGACATATCCATGGTATTTGAGATATCAGTGTTCAAGATATCGAAGTTCAACTGATGTATTTATTACCCCATAAACTCCAAAAACTACCGGTAGACTGTTATTTCTTGTTAACATTTTAAACCATCAGAAGTCTTTATTGTTAAACACCATGCACTAAATGATGAGGGATGTCACATAGCATGGGGCAGCTTATACACACTTTCAGATAAAAAGGAATTTTTGCCATCTTAATGTCTATTGTAAGTCTCTGTAAATACATGTATAAAACTGTACAGTGTGCATATAGTCAATTTTAATTACGTACATACATGTATATTTAAGAAATACAAGACATAATAACTCCTATTAAGTCTGTTATCATTTTTTTTAACAGTAAGTAAACTTTAGCTTACCTGTTTCTTTTTTTTTTTTTTATAGATGAAGATGAAGAAGAAGATGATGAGACACCTGAGCCGAAAAAAATCAAACTTCACTCCAATGACCAGAGTGATGACACGGGTATGTATGATCCCAGATGGCACAAATTCTGTTAACATGCTGTAAATAAAGTCAGTAAATAAACTGAGTTTCTAAGACTTTCTTATGTCTGTCTGGTTGTTGTTTGCTGGTCGTCTATCAATCAGCAATTCTGTAAGAGCATGAATAACTCATGTACTCTCCTGTTCAGTATACTTATACAAACTTCATATTCACTTCATACTTGGTGTAATGGGCAAGCTTGTCTTTTGAAAGTTTATAATGAAGATTTGATTGAAAAGAAAGATAATTTATGAAATTTTTGTTTAGAATCCTATATGTATGAAGAGTTAGTATCAAAACACTGTTATTATGAAATGTGTAATAATAAATATTGGAATCAATGCTTCAAAAATGACAAAATTCTGACAGGTTATGGTATTCTTTATTTACCATCAGAAAAAAAAAATATTCCAAGATCATGTTTCAAATGATATCTGTTTTAGGATTTGAACAGACACAGGAGGAATTGTCTGATGATGCTGTACCCCCTCCACCAGGGAGTGGAAAGGGGGATAACTTCTCTACTGCTAGTACCAAGGTAACTTGGAAACAGCCATTGAATGGAGTAGTAGACTTTATTATAAGTGGAATTTTTATCAAATTTAAATACTGAGGGTCTTCTTGTAATGTAAACACCTAGAATCTTCATTAAAATCATACATGTAACATCAATGATAATACCTGCTTTAGAATTAGAATTACTTTTAATAATTAATATTATCCAAAAGGGAGCCGAAGCAAGGGCATTTAACCTACCTTGTTTTTAACATGAGAATTTTTTTTGGTAAAATTTGACCACATGTCCAGTTTGCAAAATAAATTATTTGAGAGGGACAAAGTTAGATTTTCCCTATTCCAGAAGTTTACAGTTAGGGTGAAAATAATTGAAATACTTTGATTTGTCATAAATGGTGTTAAATACATTTAGATTGTGTCTGTAAGAAAATATTTTACTGAAGGAACTAAAGGTTGAACACTCTGCTGTTTTTGAATTTCCTTTACATTGACGTCTGCCTTTTACTGCATAATGTTGTCTAAGCAGGACAAGTGAAGCATTTGATTTAGTTTTGTAGACCTCTTTCATATGCCAATTTTTTGTATTGTAGATAGTGAAAACACCACCAGTGGTTCCTACAGTGGAAGCAATCTCACAGTCAGAGAAACGTAATTTGTCATTGGAGGCTTTGTGTGAGGTTGGATCATCTGAACTTGAGAACATTCAGCGACAAGGATCCCCCAACACACCTCAAACACATGAATCATTATCAACCCCACCCCCCTCAACTAGTTCACAGGAAAGTAACTCGGAAGCAAGTTCCTCGAAAATCAAGGTGGTAAACCCAGAGGATATCCGAAAGCGTAAGCACCCAGCTAAACCTGGTAAACACATCTGTAGTTTCTGTGGAAGGGGATGTGCTAAGCCGAGTGTGCTTCAGAAGCATCTCCGAGCACACACAGGGGAACGTCCATTCCCTTGCCTGGACTGTGGATTTGCTTTCAAAACCAAAAGTAACTTGTACAAGCATTGTAAGTCAAGGTCACATGCACTGAAAGCCAAACTTGGCAGAAAAAATTTACCAAAGTGGCCTAGTCAAGAGGAAATGGAGACTGAAGATATGGATGAATCAGAAGATGATGAAGAAGGACTGAATGAAAGTCAGTCTAGCACAGACACTGCAGAGAGAGATGAAAGTTCCCTGACTCCAAATGAAGCAGAACAAATTTCTTTGTTGAATGACATGTCAAAGTTTCTAAAGAAAGCTGACTCAGATCCAACAGGATCTCAAGCTGTACAGAGAGAGGATAGCTTTGAAAACCGTGAACAAGCTCCTGTGCATGTTTTACAGGAAGTAGCAAAGTATCTAGAGAAACCTAAAGCAGAGCGGCCAAGGATAGAGGTACCATCCTGGAAAAGTGATGCCAGACCTAGATTTGAAACGAGAATGCGGAATTTAAATTTAGAATTTGAGCATGCAAAAAATATTGGACCTTTAGGAAAAAGACCAGGAGTTGTTGATGAACAGAAATTAAATTCAGCACAAAGTCAGTTTATAACTATTGCTCCCAAACAAGATCTTCTGTCTGCCACATCCTCTAAAGGATCTGAAAGCATTGATCAACTCACTACTGTTCACAGAATGGGAAGTGGAGGGTCAGTCACAGTACACAGGCTTCTTCTGCCATTAGCTTTCCAAAATGTCGAGGCTTCCAATGTACCATCAAACCATACAACCTTAAGCAATGTAGAAGCAGAAAAGATGATAGCCATTGATAATGGAGCAGGGGCTGTGGAAGTGATTAGGTTACCTCATCCTAATACTGACCCTGGCATGGCTAACAAAGTACTGAGAGAGCTGGAGGAGCTGAGTGACAGAGTCCAACAGTCCAGTGCCTCAGATGTGCAGCTGGTCCCCGCTGTTATGGAACTCCAGGATGGAACTTGTCAAGTTTCAGTCAAAGCTATCCCTGCCCGTGAGGCCCATGGACCTCTGGTTAGATCATTCTCACAACCTGCTGGTGACCTACAGACAAGGAGCCAGAGTGACTCAAAGGTAGATATGGAAAAAGTCAAAGAGAGAATTCAGAATCTGATATCCAGCAATGCAGCTATTGTGAAAAGTCCCTTGTTTGAATATAAGCGTTTGTATAGACAGAGTAGTGAATCTAAAGGTACCGTTACAAAGCCTAGTACAGTGCTACTCCAGAAGTTTGAAAACAGCAGCATTGAAAAATCTGTTTCAGCAGCAGAGACAGGTGTTACAACAAGAGCTGTGTTAAAACCAGAGGGTCTAGATAAACCAGTATCAACTTGTGTTCCCTCATTAGTTAACAATGAAACATCAAGGACATCTTTAGAGGGTAAATCAGAAGCTAGTACTACCAGACGACTTGTTAGACAGTCTGCCCTGTCCTCCAGTGTAGATTTAGATGCAAAGACTCAAGTCAGCCTAGGAAATCAGTTACCAGTGCTGACTATTTCTAATGAAGTACTGAAGCAGATAGCTGAAGCCAATAAATCTGGAACTCCAAAACCTGATCCCAAGGGGGCAATTAGAACCCAAGAAATTGCCTCCAAAACAGTGACTGCTTTAGACCATAGTGGAAAAGAAATTACAATCAAGCTTCAGTTGGAGAACCCTGTTCAACCTAAAACTGTAAAGCAAGAAAATGAAGCATCTGATGGACAGTCTAAAGCAATCAAGGATAAAATTCGTGAAGTTATTAAAGCTCGGGATATTCCACCTGTCCAAAAATCTAAGTCAGAAACTCAAATCAGCATCTGTGAGAAAGATGAACTTGGAAATACTACTCCAATAACATTAACAGAGTCTTCAAAATCTGCCACATTGAAAAAAGAGCAGTTCGTGTGCAGTTTCTGCAAGACTGCATTTTACAAGAAAGAGACATTAGATTTACATATGGCTTACTATTGTAAATTTATAAAAGCACATGATTCCATAGACAGATCTAAGGTATTGCAAATTTTTCAAAAACAGGAGAGTGAAAAGAAACCAGCAGAAGGTTTAGTAAAAAGACAAATATCTCTACCTGTTATACAGTTTCCTAAACAGTCATCTGTACCAGCCAGCAAGACCAATATAATGATCAGGTCAGAGGGTGGAGGTGTCATTAAATCTCCAGACACTGGAATGCCGAAACAACTCAGTATCCCAGCTCAGTTTTCTAGAGGTGTGTTGAATGTTCCAGCAAATGCAAGCCTTACCTCCTCAGTGGAATATCTCATCAATAAAAAGGGAAGACCAAGACTCAATGAAAGACAGCCAAGAAATTCCTTGCCATCTGCCCAGACACTTCCACATAGTCCAATACCAGTCAGCATTTATCCTTTAAGTCAACTCTCAGGTGTTCTGCCTGCACAATCATTGCCACAGCTACAGATAGCACTAGGAGGATCACAATTGAAAGCAGCCCAGGAAGTATCTCAGACATCAGTTATAACTAGTCAGAAAAGCACCCCATCCTTTACAAAAGCTCCATTGCCTGTGTCATATTCAGTGATGACCTTCAGTTCACAATCAACACCCAAGGCCACTGGAGTAGATGTTCAGCCAATCGCCATTCAGAATGTGATGTCTGTAAATAGGAATTTTAACCCCACTGAAAGTAGAAAAGGACAGCAAGAAGTAATTGTCAAAAAACAACAGTCTTTGTCTTCTGCTGCAGCCAGTGATCTTCATAGTATGATTCAAGTCCAGATAGTGGGGCCTGTGGGAAGTGATCTGTACTGGAAGGAGCTGTCAGGAAAGACAGGCAGTATACAGCCTGCTGGGATAGTTAAAGTTTGTGAACCTTCACAACCAAATATTAATGTTGCTCAAAAACAATTGGAAACTAAGCTCAAAGACAAACATTTGATTCATTCATCATCAGATTCAACAGAGCATTCCTCACCTCATGTTTTAAATGAAGATCTCAAAGAAAAATTGAAAGGAAAATTACTCATGAAAAGATCGCTCAGTTTAGACCCCAAAGTACTGCAGTCAACAATATCACCAGTATTGTTTAGAGAAGATACTGAGGGTTCAGCAAGTAAAAAGATCAAACTGGTTTCAATTCAAACACCCCTAAAACATGAAGACTTGATTCCGTCTGCACAGTCATCTTCATCAGATGTAATTCTTGAGCCAGAAAGTAAAGCATGGAGAATCAAGACTCTTTCCATACCAGTGGTGAGGGCTCAGCCCATGTATCACTTGTCTCAAATGGTTAGCCATCTTATGTTCAAAGAAAAAACTAGTCAGTCGAGTGAAACTTCAGATTTCCCACCAGAACAGAATTTAGCAATGTTAGACAGCAACAAAGCCATTTCAGCAACTGCTAGTGGTTCACAAGTTCCAGAGAAAAGTCCTACTGTGTCCGTTCCACTGATATTGTATGGTCATAACTACCCCTCCCTCAGAATGTCAACACAAGTGTCATTCTGTTGTATTTCAAGGCCACAGCCTATGTATGTTCCATTCAGATCCACCAAAAAGATTTCTATGTATTCCAATTGGAAGGTATCAGGGCACAATACAAATCCCATAGGACTCACTCCAAAGATGCTGTTGTCTCTGTACAAATCAGATTCTAACAAAGACCCAGGCTATGTTACTTCATCAAGTCAGGCTTCCAAAGGAGGGATGTTAACACACAGTAGTTACTGGACTTATAAGGAGAAGAAGGCCATGCCCATTGAAAAGAAGCTTGAATTGAAGAAAGAACCAGATACTGCCAAACCAATATCAAGCATAAAGATCTCTACCCCAAAGAAAGTGACAGGGGGTGTTAAATCTCTGGATCCCTATGTGTATGTTAGAGGGAGAGGCAGAGGAAAGTATATTTGCAATGAGTGTGGAATTCGTTGTAAGAAACCCAGCATGTTGAAGAAGCACATACGATCCCATACAAATCTTCGCCCGTATGTCTGCTGTCACTGCCACTTTTCTTTCAAAACAAAAGGCAACCTGACCAAGCACATGAAGTCAAAGTCACACCACAAGAGATGCATAGAGCTGGGAATCCTTCCAGTGCCGACACAGGTGGACGAGTGTCAGATCGATCAGGAGATGCTGAAAGCTCAGTGTGATCTGTCCAGAAAGGCTCGAATCGTGCTGAAAGATGGAGCGTCAATGTCCCTGGACCTGGATGAGATTGACTCGGAGAGCGATGATGAAGAGGAGGAGGAATCACAGGTCAGTGCAGTTTATAGGCATTTAAATCCATGTCAAAATTGCAAAAGATGTGAAAATAATTTCCATTACTTTCCATTATCTGTTTATCTTTGAGTGGAAACATTGCTTTTAGATATAACATTTTTCTAAAAAGATTTGTTTTAAAAAAAAATGTTTGGAGTATTCTAAACACCTGACTCCATTAAAATGAAGTGGTAATTTTATTGTGTTGTTCCAACAATGAGATTTATATGTAAAAAAAAAAAAAAAAAAAAAAAAAGTGAAACATACATGTATATGGTATTGACTGTAAACGTACTTTTTTCCATGGAGTCATAATTCCCTGGAGTCGCAATTTCTGTTCAATCAGCAGGTAGAATGTTATGTAGATTTCTTGGATTGTCATTATATGTCCTTAATTCATTTTAAGCATACACTGTGACAAGTGGGAAAAAAAGTTTTTCTACAGAAATTCAAATTAAAATTGATTCTAATTTCAAGTATTGCCTTGTATATTTAGGACCAAGAGAGCATGGATGTCGGTGATAGTCCGCAGGAAGCACCTGAGGTTGTCACGGAGATGGAGATCACTACAGAGGATGGGGTCACTGCAGAGAAAGAGGTCACACAGGAAGTTAATAGGTATACAGACAAGAATGAAAACTGTAGTCAAATTTCAATATCTTGAACTTGACAAGGTTTAAATTTTTTTTCCATCAAATTTTAAAAATACATGTACTTGTATGTACAAATTTTTAAGCAGAAGGATGTGCACAGACCACCTTCAGCCTGATTCAAGTATCAGATGGATTCTGTTTAGAATTTAATGACATTTAATTTTATTTTATACTTACTTTCAGCCCTGGCTCCAGTTTGGAGGGTTTGGAGAGAGGCCTTGTTGGATCCACCCCTGTGATTTGTTCTGTAGTTCAGCCACACCCAAGTATACCTCAGTCATTGAGAAACCCTGGCCAACCTCTAGTAGCCATTGTACATCAGAAAGAGGAGGCGACGTCAGAATATACGACCAGTAACGGTCAGCAGATCATCCATATTGTAGAGGACACCAGCAGTCAACCAGCAAGGTAATGTACGGGTTGTGGAGGGATTTGGCTCTTCTATGTTTTAATTTTAGAATTGATACAATTTTTTGAGCAAGAGCTCTGTATACATGGAAATGTACTTTTTGTTTTGATTTCATTGGCTGACATTGAGACATTTGTAACACTTTGGTATGTTTGTTGTGAGTTCACATCACAATGCAATGTCATACATGTAGACATCATATCATCTGCTGGAATCATCAATACTTGAAAAAAAAAATTTTTTTTATAAACTTCAAAGGAAGTTATAAAAGCCTTTTTGATATCAATAAGCCTGGTGTCTTTCAGTTATTATTCCTATGTGTTGTCCTGTTTTTCTGAACAAAACAATTAAGATTTGTATTTTTCTGTGTCTTTTCAGCCTGGGAACAATATATGGATTTCCTGCAGGAGTGTCATCAGTTGAAGGTAATGTGTATACCAGATATTACACCATCTAATAATATCTATAACGGACATCATTTCAAATTTTGATTTAACCATCCCCAACATATACTGAGTTATTTTTGCCCTTTCATACTTGCAAACAATTTCACCCCCATTTCAATTCACCCAGGCACAGATTTTGCTTAATAAGAAATAATGCTTTGAAATCACCCCATTTTAAATTTGCCCACTTGTTACAAGTGTGAATGGGGCAAAAAATTTTCCATAGACCTGTATTTAGTACGATGCTCATGTAAAGTTGTGATTTTTTATTAACTTTTCATGACACATCTTCATCAAATATTTTGGTCTAATTTAATCAACAGATGTAAACCTTTTTTTTTTGCTACTTTCAGAAAGCCCATCATCCAGTGTGGTGGAAATCACAGAGGTTTACATTTCAGAGGGAGGTAAATTGTGGCATTTACATTTACTGTCTTTGTATTGTTGATGGTATACTGTAAACCAACTATTATTCGCGACAACTTTTATTCGTAATTCTTCAGTTTGGAATCCATCCACGACTACTAATTTTAGCAACTGAGGCAATATTTAACATAAATACATAGGGGAATAATTGATTCATGACAAGAAATATTTGCGAGTAAAGGAAGGTCGAAAAAAGGATATTTTTTGCAGGCGAAAAAAAAATGGTTTATAGTAATAAGACTAAGCGCACTAAAGAGAGCACCAACAGCTTAAAAGATTTAGCTAAAAGTGATACAATTATCACACATACTAAGTTATAGTATGTGTTCAAAATATGTATGTTTATGTAAAATCTCTTTTCAAGTTCATTTAGGGTATTTGCTGAAGAACAATATATATAGTATATATGCAAATTAAATCCAAAGTTTTAGATGAAAAATTATGTGTGCTTTCAGATCCAAAGTTAGGATTTTTATTTGAGGAACTACGTAAACATGAAGCAGTGTTAAAAGAAGGAAATGAGGACTCCATTACTCCTGAAGACTCTTGTCAGGTAAGGTATATAAAACAGGATTAAATCTGATATAATCTCTATCACATGACGTCTGCTGGGTTAGTTGTACTCAGGGGAGATATTTAGTTGAGTAAAAACCTGTTTTACTTTAGTGTTATGGGGAAAGGTTAACTCCTGGTGAGGTTATTGACTGTGATTTCAGTGTCATTTCTTAAGTCCTCTGGGTAGGAGAAAACTCATCCAAGTAATACACTTTCCTTTTTAAAAGAATGCCTCATCTTGTTTAAGTACCTAGACATCACCTTAATTAAGGGATTTGTTTTAATTTATAAATGTAAATTGATTTTTTTTTCTGTCTCTTTCAGAAGAAACCAAATGAAGATGGAGAAACTTCTGAAAACAGCTGTGTTAAAGAATCTGATAAACATACTGACAAGAATGAAAAAACAAATCTTGATTCTGAAGTTAATGATGCAGAAAAACCTGTGGAATCCTTTAGTCCAGAGATTACAACTAGTGTAAAAGAGAATGATCTCGCCAATACATCAGGAGCAAGGGTTACCAGAGAGGAAAAGAAAAACAAAGTGGAGTCACCAAGGCAATTGGAATTTTCTATTCCACTGGGTGGTTTCATGCCCCCATTGGCTTATTTCAAACAACCCAAACAGACCACAAATTCTGGCCCAATTATTGGCCAGCTCATTAGGCAGCGGCCCATGACTTTACAGTTAAGTAGCCCTGTCAAGACCCCCACTAGCCAGGCCACACCCTTGAGTCAGGCCACCCCTGTCTTTGCTCCATTCCAATTTCAACATCCATTCATGGAAAAACACGATTACCAGGAAGTTTTTAACGTACATAGCAGTGAAAGTGTTGTGAAAGCAGAAGACTCCTGCATACAAAGCAAGATTTCTACAATTCAGGATGGAGAGGAGAAATTAAAAGTCTTGAACATTAATGATCAAAATGAGGATAACTACTCCAGCTACATTATCATTGAAAATTCAGATGAGGACAATGTGATACATGTGACTTCTGCGGAGGGTGCAAATGAACAAGTGCTGTATCAGTGTCAGTTTTGTGATGGTTTATTAGAACCTGAACACATTCTTGATCATCTCAAAACCCACAAAATGGAACATCTCTTCTCCTGTGAAACATGTGGGGTTGACTTTCCTTCGAGGGAGAAATTTGAGAATCATAGCCATGGGAAATCTGAAAGTGTGAGAAGTGACTCGGTGAAGTGTGACGTATGTCTGTTGACCTTTGACTCCAGGGACGAACTTTCAGAACACTTTAAAACAGAGACACATATAGATAAACTAGAAGGATTGGGAATGGTTCCCAAAGGGACCTTCTCAAACCTTGAAAGAAATATCGAATCTTTAACAACTTCCGACCATAGTGAGTTCGTTCAGCTTCTTAAAAATAGGATTGACAACCACAGGAAGGCTTCTTCACCAGTTGAAATGGTAGTGGATGTGAAGGATGTGAATACAGAAAGGTCACAGAGTCCTGCACAGTTTCAGGGTCAATCTCAGTATGAGAAGAGTCGAGCAGCCTCCAATGATAAGGTGACAGTGGAGATAAAGCATGAGAGTAATGACTTCTGTCAGATCAGGAGTTCTAGCCCGGACTACCCCCCAGAGAGGGGCACATCCCCTAACATGCCACATCTCTGTGAGATCTGTAGAAGGGGATTCATCAATCTGGACCACCTAAAGGTGAGAATGTACAGTGTATGATAATTTGGTAAAAGAAGAGAAAATGATAATTAAATATTTTTTTTTTAAGAAATGCAAGTCTACAGATTATTCAATAAAAATGCAATTGTACATACATACATGCATCTTTATGTGCTTAGTTATTAAAGTTTGCTTAAATCTTCACACTGAGTAACTGTTGTGTGGGGCCACATTAAAGTTTTACAAATGAGCTTATATGAATATGACAAAGACCAGACAATAAATACCCAGAAAATTCTCAGCTTGATTTGGTAAAAGTTTGCCCACCTCTTTATTGTAGGCCCACCTTGTCAGTCATGCGGAGATCAGACCGTACGTTTGTGAATACTGCGATGCTGGATTTACAAACAGTCAGTCCCTCAAGACCCACCTGCTGTCCCATGCACAGGTATACATTGATATTATACATCTATTTATCTGTATACATTGGTATATATATGTATATACAAACTACTGGAACATATTTCACATATTCAAAATATAACCTAAACTGTCTAGGATCTAGGATCATATTTAACGTTTTAAGATCTAAAGATATTGGATTTAGGCATTGAAAATTCTGCCAAAAATAGAAAATTACAGTAAAACTTGCTTATGACGAAGTGCCAGGGATGGGCGATTTTGCTTCGTTATAATCGTAATTTATTTTACTGGTTAAGTTTAAAATATATTTTAAAGTCGAGGGAAATGAAAATAATTCTAGTGTAAAGGTCAATTCATTATAAGCTTGTTCGCTATAAGCATGTTTTACTGTACTAACTTTTATTCTATAATTACATGTATTTTGAAATAATAGCATTTAATTCAGTGTTGTGAGGTTTGAATTATTACATACTATTAGTTGCTAAAATTGCATCCAAATTAATAATATCCTGATCATAGTTGCCAGATTATTTGATGTGTAAGTATTAATCCTTGACTTGGTATTTTGCAGGAGAGACCGTATGTTTGTGGTTATTGTGGTCAAACATTCCCCATATCCTCAGACCTGAAAAAGCACACAGAAGTTTTTCACAAGACATCTCTCTCCGTCTCCAGAGATAAGACAGCGGAAGTGGAATCTAACGATGTCAAAAATAGTATGCTGACTAGCAGTAGTGTAGCTTCAGTTTCACTGGTTACAAGCCAAGCAGGAGATCAAACTAGGTCATCACCAAAAGCCAAGGGGAATAACTCTAAAACAGACTAAATTTCCTGGGAAAGAAAAAATTGGGGTGTTGAACATGTTGAGAAATAATATGTTTTTGTCTTTCAAGAAGGAATCTGGAAAATAATTTTAAAATTGTAGTTATGATCAGTGTATTAGTTTGGGTATTGCACCCAAAATGTACATTTGATACTACTAATATGAAGTTGTAATATAATTTTTCTGCAACCAGTAAATACCAAGCTTAGGGCAAAATAGTTCTGTTTTTTTAATTAAGAAAAGTTGTGCATTCTACATATTATGCACAATTTTTAAAAATGTGCCATATATGTGTTGCCAGTTGACTATTTTACAAAATCTTTAGTGCTTATTTTGTTAAGTTACCTGAGTCATTCAGGTGACCTATTGCTATCTGTTTTACTTCGCTGTGATTCAATGTGTCATGTGACGTCTGGAAACATTTGAATATGCATGTATCAAATTTCTTCTCTGAAACTAGTGACCCATTTTAAACAAGAATTTGGTATGTACATGTATGTTATAGGGGGGAAATTTTGAATGTTTAGGCCCCCCTCCATTAAACTGAAAATATTTAGCAATTTTTTTTTAAATTTCCTTACTTTCATTGAAGATGCATTATTTCACTAAAATTGCTCTTACTGGACATTCTGTAGACAATTTAATTTCTGCATTTTAATACTCACCATTGAGCTTTTTTTCTGAATTGTAACATGAGTCCCTTGCCTGTAAAATAAAGTTGTAGATGTGAGTGTAGGGAGTATGTAAAAATAGACTTCTTATTGCTTGATACTCAGGTTAATGTCAAGGCCCATGGGCCTCTTGGTATGAAAAAAGAATCAGTGGTAAGGTGATGAAAGATGGTAATACAAAATGTGCAGATAAAAGTTAGAAATTGATTTTTTTTTTTCTATTTAAATTTTGTAGAAATCTTAATGTTATAAAAATATGTTATATTTGTATAAATGGTTGATTTTAAGATTTTCTTTAATCTTATATTTTATAAATATAAGGATTATGTTTTTTTTACCTGTAACATTTCCATGCTTTGCCATGTATACTGCCAGGAGAGGTGTTATTTTTTATGCCCCCCCCCTTAGTCAGTCCATCCCATTCTATGTTTAACTCTCTCTTAAAGAAACAATTTTAAGTAAATCATGAATAACCACAAACAGATTGATAATACTTTTGAAAATAACCCCACAGCATCCAAAATACTACCACCTTGACCATCATTGCACCCTTTTTTTTTTCGAATTCTGGATTTGATTTCGGATTCCCTGAATACTGTAAGATATTCATTCAAATAACTTCACACACAGATATCAGCTGCCAGAGTAACTGACACTGACCTTTCCATTGATACAATATATTTTAATTCAGCTATGCCACTGAAATTCATAGAAAACTGCAACTCAGCTACACGGAAGTTTTTACAAGATTATCAAGATGGCTTTCATACTTAAAAAACTACAGGTCTACAGTCTTCATATAATACTGTAAAATATAATACCATGGCATATAAATACAGGTTTATGGCTACATTGCATTTTTTTTTTCCAAGGTGTAATGATTCAGTGTTGTATTTTACATTTTTAGAAATTGTTTTGTTATTATGAAATATTAAAGTGATGATAAATACATGAGAATGTTGTCAATTATTTGTGTTTAGTACTCTAGGAATTTGTTTATAAACTACTTTTGTACTTTCTTTAGACAAATCCTTATTCTTGTCTGGAGATAATACCTGTAATTCTTCTAGGTTAAAAAGAAAGGTGAACAAAGACACTTTCGGTTTTAATTGGACTTCTCCATCTACAATGTACTTCCAGAGAATACAGGTTTTGAATTTTCCATTTTCAAATAATATGGAGTTTGTACAGTCTACATGTAGTAGGATGGAGATTTAGCAAGGTTATTGCCCTTTAATTAAAAATGGAGATACTGAAACAGTTTTTTATATAATGTCAACTTTCTGGAAACTGATTAATTTTAAAGGTTAATTAATAGCATCTGTAGTGAAGTTCAAAGTGTATATTTGTTTTGACAGATTTGAAAGTTGGAACATAATGTTTGCATTTGCAGCTGTGTAAATTAAGATGTGTGCAAAATATTTCAGTTTTTAAATGTCACAAAAATTTAACACAGTTGCTGAAACAGACTCCTTACATTTGTTGCCAGTTGACTGTTTAGCAAAGTGTTTTGCTACTTATGTTCATATCTGAAATTATTATTGAAGTGGTGATGTGAAATGACAGTTCAATCTGTGTTGGTGATAGTAGTGCAACTGATTGAGTTGCAATTGAATTACATTGAAGTCAGTATACTAAGTACAGTTACTATGTTATAAATAATAAATATACAGTAAGGACAGATGCTACAAACAAAACTTTTTACCAAAAATTCATGATGTTTAGTCATAACAAATCTCATTTTTCCTTATAAGTTTCTCAGTAATGCCTTATAAAGTCATAAAAAAGGTTGTATATATATAGTTTTAGAAGGGTGTGGAAAAAGGGATGTGATGATCATGGAAAGTCTAGAATTTCTTAATATATTAGAGATAAGATATATGCACCATTCACAGCCAAAACAAAAATACAAAAATTTGTAGCATGCATTATTACATTAGAGGCAAAAACAAAATCTCTGTTCTATTTTGAAAATTTTTTTTCAGAGTTAGGTGGCACTGTTTTATTTTTATTAGCTAGTTTCATCATTAAAACAAACAGATAATGTTAAAAAATTAAATTTACACTGAAAACTACACCAGCTGAATCAAACATCTTCTTATGACCCCCCCCCCCCCCAATAATTTTGCCAATTTATACTTTACTATAGAAAGCAAAGTCAATTTACAGTTGTGACTACTCAATAATTTTGCCAGTATATACTTTACATTAGAAAACAAAGGTAATATACGGTTGTGCCCCTTCAAAATCGTCTGATGACCTTTGATTGGGGGGGGGGGGGGGGCTTGTTAAAGATTTCTGTTAGCCCCCCCCGCCCCCCCCCCCCAATGCTTTCTACGAGCCTAACATTCTAAACACTAAACATGTAAACCTAGCATCACTATTCCATAAATCCTCAACATTCAAAAAGTACAAGAATTCTTGTAAAAAAAATATAAAGATCACACTCCTTGGAACCATCAAATGTTGCTTTAAATGTGAGCGTTTTCTTAATTTCTGTAAAATAACCAAGATCTGAATAGTATCAGTATCCTATGATGAGACTCGATGTGACTAATTTAGTGTGAGCACAGGAGTTCTGTTTTAAAATTTGCATACAAAATTAACATCAAGATCCCAGCTTAATATATGAACTCGTGATCTGGTTGCAACTCAAGATGATGTGAATGAGGCAAATGCCTTTTTGTTACAATTGTATGATATATCCGACTTCTTCAGAACCAGTGGACCAATTTCAACCAAACTTGCCACAAAGCATCTCTGGATAAAGTCAATCTTTTTCAAGTGAAGAGCATGCCTACTTTCAATGGGAGATAATTAAGGAATTCGAAAATAGGGTGGAATTAGTAAAAAAAAAATCTTCTGGGCCAAAAATGACAAAGGGTATATGAAAGCTCCCTTAATAAGTGTAAATTCAACTTTATTCAAATTTTGGACCGTGAAGAAAGGATGAGGTATAATAAAGAATCCTAGCTTAACAAGGAAATATAAGAGAAATTCATTTAAAAATCTTTATCTCAAGAACAGCAGAGCCATGATTAGTCACATTCATAAGCAAGCTTCCTCCGATAGTGCACATGCAGAGTTGTCCAATTTATGGGGTAGGATGGGTCACAATATGTGGTCAAAATTTTTCATAAGATTACAGAGGCAAAAAATCTTTCGAAATCCTTAGCTATAAGATTAATGTAGCCCTCTCCATTTTATTTTAGAAGAAGGTGGTGGGGGTGTTATAGAAAAAGGGTTACATTATTGCAGCTGGAGAACAGCATGGCCAAGTTGTATAAATCGCAAATAAGCAAAAAATAATTGAAGGTACCATTAATTATTTGTAGTATATCAATTCAGATTTAATTTTGGAATAATAAGTTGTTGATAATTTGCTGAATTGATGTCCTTATCAATTGAACTATGTGCTCATCAATTCATGAATATAATTTAAAAATGGTTAATGATATAATTAATAAATGATTTGAATTATGGATATGTTGAATTGAAGAAATAACTAAATTATTAGTTGTTCCCTCTTTCTAAAAGAATTGTCTTGAGCATTAATTGATATAATCAATTGATGAGAGCAATAATTGACTTGATGTGCGCATGGATTCAAATATTTCTCTCCTCTATTCAATCGATAAAAGCATCCTCGACAGTATCGCTCGCAAAAATTAATTTAAACATTGGATTAAATAATTCGTTGAGCTCTTTTATTCAATTGAAGATGTCTGATTATTTAAGACGATTTTGTTAGAGAAAATACACGCATCAATTCCCTTAATTTGAAGAGCGCAACAATTCAGTTACAAAGATCATTATATGAATTGGATATGGTGAATTAAAGTTATCAATACTTCAATAATTGTTTTCTCTATGGAATTGTTATGAATTAAGTATTGTTGTGCGCATTAATTGAATTAATTATATTACCGGTATTAATTCGGTTGAAGAAAACAATAATATAATCAAATTATTGCGCGTATCATGTGAATTGACGCGCAATAAAATGTATAAATCTCAATCACCCATTAAATTGACGTTTGAATCAATTCAGGGAATTAATTAATGGTATCAACAATTGAGTTAATGCGTGCAACAATTCAGAATTAAAAATATCATTAATTATGTGAAGAGATCTTTACTTTAAATGTTGCGCGCATGCATCAAATGAATTTGTGATATTGTTTATTAAGAAGTGTAAGTATTGGAGTCGTAATGTAATTGCATCACTTATTATATCTTTGGCATGTGCTATAAGATGTATGTCTTTTGCAATAAAGAATCGAATTAAATTGACAAATGGCAGATAATTTAGAAATTGGTATACAAGATTGGTATTTTTCATTGCATGCTAAATTGTCATGTTATATACACTGTATGAATATGGTTAGACAAGGGCACCAATGTATTTTACAAACTAGTTTTCTGATGTTGGTCTTGCGTCAAAAGTCTGCCGGACGTACACAATGGTTGTTTTCAGATTTATTAGATTTCGTGGTAAAGATATAGTAAACGAAAGGAGAATACAGATTTTTTAAACGTTGCGTATGAATACATTATTGTTCCCTTCATAACCTGATTAATATCAGAAAGAGTTCATAGGGGCAAACGTAAGAAATTCACTATACAGAACAATAATTTTTTTAGTATTGTCTGATATAAACCAGAACGCCCACAAGTTCACGAAAACCGATTTCAATAAAGATAATTTGATTTGCATTTATAAAAAAAAAAAGTATCAGGATTACTTTTGGATTGGAAAATGTTTAAAAAAAATCATTACATTTGTACATATTTATGCAAAGAATATGTAAACGATTCAGTAAAATACTATTTTACTTGAAATCCATTCATTACTTTCAAAAGAACAATAAACAACAGAAACCATTTGGACGTAGCAGGTTTATTACATTGTCATTTACTGATTTTTATTTGAAATTTGAATAAAAATTGGTACATTACGTGTACTATATAATTTAAATTTTCGAAAAAAAAATCGGTAAACGGCAATATTGACAAATATAATTATGTAGAGTATATCATTATATATCATAAAGTTGGATTAAATAAACTGAATTTAAATTTTATTTTCAAAACTTAAGGTTCATTGATACTCTGCTAAGAGAGATAACTCTTAATGACAAAAATGTCTATTATTCCTTATAGATTTGTCAAGTTGAAATATCTTTTTTGATTAATTTTGCCACGCAAGCTATGGTATAATTGTTTGTATTTTACTTATAAAATGCATTTTTTTCGGAAAACGATAAAAGTTAAAGCAACATTTTATATGCGTGAGCAGAGGGTCGATGAACCTTAATCGTGCTCTACGTGCATGTCGTCCTAAACTGGTATTTAAACACCTACTCACCTTATATTACAAGTAAAATTGATGCAAAGCATCAAATCGGCCGCAAACAAAATTTAGCATTTCAAAAAATACTTTCACAATTTTAAAAGCATCTATGAAAGGAAAGCACGAGGTATTCAAAACTGAAAGAGTGATAATTATTATTTCAAACTGTCTTTAAAGAAAAATAAATAAATTAATAATTTTAAAAAATAAAATAAATAGAAATTTTAGTGTATTTGCTCATCAAATTGATTCATCAATGTAATAAAGTCAATGATAAATGATTAGAAATTATTGTCATCAAAATTAAGATGTAGGCCTATTTATATTCAGATCTCAAGATGAACTACTTGCTGCATGATACCCCTGGATCTTTGTCACGTGATGATGCCCATGATTTCTGTAGAGTAGGCTATGCTGTACGCGCGGTGCAAAATGTTGAAAAAATTATCCTTGTGTCATTCGCAGCTGTAGCATATTCAAAACAATTTTTACTAGTTGAACACCTTTTCAATTTTTATTCACCATGCACCTTAACCACTTCATTATTATCCGGAAAATCATAACAATTTGCTTTCATATCTTACACACTCCCAGGTTGGGGAGTACCTAATGTAAACTCTTTTATCATAAATTATCAATTATCTGATGAGAAATGATAAAATTGAAACATAATAACAACAATTAAGACTTAGTTTAAACAAGTTTTTAAAATATTTACTCATGATTTTATACATGTTATCATTTAAGAATTATTTTACTGAAATAATAAAGAAATAAATTCTCATTTCCCCATGTACACTTTCTAACACAACCACAAATAGATCGGCCGCTGAGCATTGCGGCCGATAATAAAACCGGTTCTAAAGAACCACGTGATATAAAACAGGTATTCGAATGAAAACCTTGCAATTCCGAACAATTCCTAAAAATACCAAATAGAAATTCATTTTTGTCTCGTAAAATTTTCTGATAAAAATGTTCCAGTGTCCATGATTAATATTTGAAAGCTGCCCAAGAATATCATTTATTTCCATAATTAACATACAAATGACCATCCTATATTCGTTAATTACCTCAAAGGATTATACTAAACTTGTCTAATGTGGATGTTGTGTATTCCAAATTCTCGCCTTCTATGATGTAAACAGTAAATTCAATTGTTTCTAATCCGGGATGAATTATCTAATCCGGCCAATTTCTATGAAACCGGTGGTGTCCAGATTAAGTTTTGTGAATTTGGTGACATTTGTAGTTAAGGTCAGGCGACACGTTCCTCAATTATATAAATAATTGTTCCCCAAAATGTGATTGAAGTACTGTTACTTTAGGGAATTTCCTCACAAATAAATTAATGTACTTTTTACCAGTCATTTATGCAAGATTCCAGAGGATACTATTTCCTGAATAATAATCCTCAAAATCACTCGAATTGCTGACCACAATTTTTCAGTGTTGCTACATTTACATCGTTCTAGAATTGCAGGGACAAGAATTAAGTTTCAAAACGGATTCCAGTTATTTTCATTTATTATATATGACCTATTTTAATGCATATTATGTTGGATGAAAAGCTAATATCAGTAAAAATTAAATAGTAAATTCATTGATATAGTCTACATTTAACAGGTAGTTCACAGTAAAAGAAAAGAGTACTCGCAATATCGATGTGTGATGTGCTTTTTTTTTTTTATATTAATCGCCAACTAGCAGCATCAGCTAATTAAATAGGAAATTTCATCTTTTCGAATTTGTGATTTTCTTTATTAAATATAAATATTCATAATATGTGACTCGCCGATTCAAATAGGTGATATTACCTTTTGAAACAGGGATAATACAGCAAATTCCAGTAAGTAATTATTGAATAAGTGATATCACCAAATCGAATTTCTCATTTATGTATATATATAAGATATATCACCTATTCAAGCTAGATTAGTGACACGAACTAATGGAATTAGTAATCTCATCTGCTTATTCTATTACCATTATTTGAGAAAATTTGAATCTACACTACCTGCAGATGCTTCTGTATAAATACTGTATAACCAATCGTGGCTTTGCTGTTCCTGGAAAAAAGATTTTGAAAGACTTCTCCTATATATTCCTATGTTAAACTTTGTTCCCCCTTTCTGCCCCACCCTTCATCCAGGAATCATGAATTGAACAAACTTCAATTTACAATACCTGAGGATGATTCCATTTAAATATGGCTTTGCATTCCTTGAGAAGACGATTTTAAAGACATTTCCTATATATTCCTATGTATAACTTTGATACCCTGTTGTGTCCCCACCCTACCCGTAGGGGTTATGATTTGAACAACAATGAATCTACACTATCTGGGGATGCTACTGTATTTTTATATGACTAATATTGCTCAGAAAATCTTGAGAAGATTTTTAAAAAGATTTTTTTTCCTATGTATTCCTAGTATGTACAATTTAAATTCCCTGTTGTGGCCTCTCCCTACCCCCGAGGGTCATGATAAAAACAAAATTGAATCTTCACTACCTGAGGATGCTTTTGTATAAATATGACTAATTACGACTTTGCTGTTCATGAGAAGATATTTAAGGATTATTTCCTATATGTTCCTATGTAAAACGTTGATTACCTGTTGTGGCCTCACCCTACCTCCGGGAGTCCTGATTTGAACAAACTTCAATCTACATTACCTGAGGGTCCTTCTATATAAATATTACTAATCTTGGTTTTGCTGTTCTTGAGAAGAATTTTTTTAAAAAGACTTTTCCCATATATTCCTATGTAAAACTTTGATCCCCTGTTGTGGTCCATCCCTACTGCTGTTTTGATTAACTTGAGAAGACGAATTTTAAAGATATTTTCTATGTTTTCCTATGTTAAAAAACCCAATCCCCTGTTTGGGCCTCGCCCTAACCCCGGGGGTCATGATTTGAACAAAATTGAATTCACAGTATGTTATGAAGATTTTACATTAGTGTTATCTTTTCTAGCCAGTGGTTTTAAAAGATGCCACCAAATTTTCACGAATTCTTAATTATCTCCCCTTGAAAGAAGAAGCGGCACTTCCAGTGAACAGAGTAAAATCCCGTTCACCCGAAAATGCTTTGTGGCAAGCGTGGTTGAAATCGGCCCAGTGGTTTTTTAGAAGTCGAAAATGTGAAAAGTTTACAAACAACACACGATACACGACAGAAGACACACGTCAGACAGACAGTTAGGCGAACACCAGACCCTCTTTGATCAGAAAAGCTCATCTGAGCCTTCGGCTCAGGTGAGCTTAAAACTAAATGCCAAACACGTTGTCACCTCCTGTGCACTTTATAATATGCTATCTAAACATGATTTTGTAAACGGATAGTCCAATTCCCTTGCCTGGCTACCCTTTTCATGGCCGTAGGAACCGGGGGGGGGGCACCGGGGGGGGGCCGTGCCCCCCCAATAATTTTGCCGATGTATAGAATACTATAGAAAACATAGCTGTTATATATGCTTGTGCCCCCTCAATAATGACGTCTGATGACCTTTTTTTTTTTTTTTTTTTTTTTTTGCTTGCCAGGGAATTTTGGTAGTTGATAGTGCCCCTTCAACTGAAAATGTATGGTTGTGCCCCCTCAAAGTGAAATTGCTTCCTACGGGCCTGCTTTTCTATGAATATGTATCGTATAGTGTTATTCTCTGCATGTTGCAGTTTTTGTGAACTCTTTCCTCCTTTTTGTTTCCTTCTTATTTTCATTATTTACAATAAGTATATTTTTCTGCATATTATGGTTCATTAAATTTTTTCTACATTGTACTTGTCGTGTTCAAAATCTCTGTAAAATTAGGGGGGGAAAGATGAATGAAAGACATTCGAATACTATTAAATATAATTTTCATGAAATCGGAATAGATGATATCATCTTATCGAAATTAGTGAAACTTAATATCTCCTTTTTGAATTGAGGATATTAAATGGTGATAAAATTACAAAATGGCTCCATTGTTATGCGGTCACGTCTTTTCCCCACGCAGCATGTGCTAGTCAGGCACGTAGTGTCATTTTTCCTACTCAGCAGTATCAAGTCCTGTCCTAGTCAGGCACGTAGTATCGTTTTTGAAAAGAAGGGTGGGCAGTCCGAAAAAAAAATAACTGTAAAATCTTTGACAAGCAGAAAAAGTAAACTGTTCAACACTTGAAAATCCTATTTCTTTGGAGGGGTTTGGGGATGGGGTGTTGTTAAGTGTCAGCTTCTTCCACAAATAAATTTAATAAATACATAACTTACCATGGGACGATTTGACTATACAGCAACAAAAAGTTGGGGGGGGGGGGCTTTCATTGAACATTTTCAACAGTAAAAGGTTACGTTTGGAAAAAAGTGTGGAGGGAGGGGGGCTACCCTTGGCTCTTGTGACCGGGTCTTTTTATAAGAATTTACGACTACATGTAAGACCCAAAATAAATCATGGTTCTAAATTATAATGGTGCTATTTTCAAATGTTGTACATATATCAGTAAGAAACATATTAATTGTATATCAAGCTTAAGAAAAAATGGATCTACACAGGCTGTTTTTTTTTCACTTGAATTATCTAAGAATTAAAATAATGATTTTTAACATTCAAATACTCGTATAGCATGGCTCCATGTTCGTACTCTAGGCTCTGACGCACAAATTTATTTATCGTGTACATTTAAATAACATCAAATCAGCATTTTTTTCTTAGGATTTTAAAGAATGTAAGGTGCTTTCGTGTCAATGGACAATAATGTTCAGTCAATAAATTAATATTTAAAACACTTAAAAATTTTCTTTTCCATGAGCTAAAAAAGAAATAAAAATAACTACTATAGAGAAGTTTATGAAACTGATTGCTTTAAATCATATTCCATCATAGTGTTTGTGACCGAATCTGTCTACGTCACTGAAATCAGAATGGTGTGACATTTCTGGGATCATATAAATATTGCCGATAGAACTGTGACTGTAACATTTCACTATGGAGCTGATGGTGGTGTTCGGTGTGTTGATTTGCTGTAGTGTAGCCCTAGCAGTTTGTCCGGACGATGCCACGGATTTAAATTCGTGGGCGGCTACTTATGTAAGTAAATCAGTTCCATCATCAACACTGATTTTATTCATTGCTAACATCTGCTAAATTGCAGATGCGTTTTGTAAAGTTAATCTGAATGGTTTATTTGACACATTCTTTCATATATTGTCCAATCGTACGCCATTGCCATAAACCCCAGCATCCTTATATTAACCTTCTAATTTTGAATCAGGCATTTTTTTAAAACTCTTGGATTCACAAACTTATAAACTAAGAAGTAATTAAGAATTTTTAAAAAATCAAATATACTACCCAAGAATTTAGAAAAATATTAATTAGATTAACCTGCAAATCATCGTCCCCCAGACTGATAGACCAGATCTGTAATATCTGTAATAAGGGACAAATAGCAGATGAATATCACTTTATTCTAGAATGTTAATTTTTTCAGAATGCTGATAAAGGTATCTTCCTATAAAATATTGTAAAAAACCAAATTTTTACAAATTCTCAAGACTATGGACAAGCTGTCCTCCATAATCATTTTTGTTAACTTGTACGTACATGGTGTATTTCCGTCATTTCAGGTGTATATTGTATGTTGTCTTTGTATATATTGTATAGAACCTCATGTACCATTCAGGGACGTAGCATCATTTTTAAAAGGGGAGGGGCAGCCAGAGAAAAATTTCAATTTACCTGAAAAAAAAATTGACAAGCAAACTCCAAATTCTATTTCGTGGGGAGGGGAGAGTGGTTGTAGATTCCAACTTCTTTCAGTACCAAGTTTTATTCATGAACTACTACATTACCCTTGTATGACTTAAAGCAACAAAAAGTGTGTGTGTGTGTGTTGGGAGAGGGGGGGGTTTCAATGAACATTTTCAATAGTAAAAAGTTATGTTTGGAAAAAAGGAAAAAAGTGGGGGAGGGGCTACTACCCCCCCCTTCCTCAGATGCTACCTGCCTGCCAATAATTGGTTTGAGGGAATAAATTGAACTTGAACTACTACATACAGTTGGAGGGTGTAAAAGAAAGCAAAAAGAAGTTTTAGAGGGGTGTTTTAAAAAGTAAAGGTCACAAGTGAGGATAATTGCTAACGCATTCATTTGATACACCCGGGATCTTTAAGTCACGAATTTTAAATTAATATCTTAAATTATATCACGTATCTGGAGTAAGAGAGAACACCTATATAAAGATTTTTGACTCATATGGTCAGAGGTTATGATAAAAGGTTGAAATTTTTAAATAGATGAAATATCTTGTGTATTTATTTAAGGTACAATCTTTTAGTTTAGTACATAAGTAAATGTTTAGAGAAAGGTCAGGGTCAAAAGATCATTATATAAAGCACATTACCAGCCCTGTACGATTTCTTGATTTCAAAATTACTTTGAGGATTTTGTCCTCAAAACAAGGCAATTTATTTTCTAACAATTTTTCTTCGTCGTCATTTCTGCAATTGATGTATATCAAATTTTTTTTCAGTTAAAAACGATTTTAAAGGTTAACGTCTTTATGCTTGATTAACTTATAAGAAGTACGCCATTGAAAGGCTTTTGATTGACTCATTTCTAGAGATTTTATGAGTTCTCTTTTTATTTTTAGTTAAATGTTTTCACATAATTTCTTCCAAACAGTTATAAATTTATGTAAGCATGAATCTAGAATTCAGTAAGTATAAAATTAATTCAATTTTTAAAAAAAAGCATAAAGGAAAATATGCTTAAAAATCTTTGCACTTGTACGTACATGCAAATCTTTGCATCTTAAGCTTATATAATGTATAAATATAGTTACTTAATGTTACATATTCCATAAACACGTGAACTGAAATGTAAACCACGTGTGCTCTACATACACATGTAATTGTAGAACTGACAAATCGCTCAATTCCTTCACCCTATTCATCTTTTATTCCAGTGTAAAGTTTTTGAAAACATCAGAGAAGCTTTTTTTTTCAGAATGTTAATTTAAATAGAAGTGTACATTGTAAATCCAGCCGATAATTTAAACACTTTAATGAAAAATAATTAGAAACTAGAACTAATTAGAACTGAAGAATAATTAGAAATAATTAGAAAATATTTTATTATTTATTTTATTATTAACACATAAGTTGTTAATATTTTTTAAACCTATGGATAAAATTTTCAAGAAACAAGTCACAGCTAGGAAGGATATGCTAGAAAATCATATTTTAAAACGAAATTGAAAGATAGCAAAAAATTGCAAAAATCTAGGGGAAAAAAAGATAATTTTGAAAATTTTGAGACGTATCAGGTTAAACCAAAGGCACTAACTTTTAAAAAATTTTCTTAAAAAAAAAAATCCATGCTAAAATAATAACGATTTTTTTAATTTATAAAGACAATGATTGAAACGTCAAGTGCCTGTGGGATAAATTAGCCTGAAACGCAAGAATCCATGACAACCATGTATCAGCGGTGCTACTTTAGTAAGGGACGGTATGCACCATTTAGCTTTTGACTTTTGGCTGTCACTCGTGATGTCCTCCTCACCCCTGGTTCTACATAAATGTGATCACATCGGATCATATATATTATGGCATGTCAAACGTTGCAATATTCGATCTTTTGCATTTGCATTGTATAATTTTCCATTTGCATTGTATAATTGTTATTTGTATTGTATAATTTTCTATTTGTATTGTATAATTTTTCATTTGTATTGTATAATTTTTATTTGTATTCTATAATTTTCTATTTGTATTGTATAATTTTCATTTGTATTGTATAATTTTTATTTGTATTGTATAATTTTCCATTTGCATTGTATAATTTCTTATTTGTATTGTAAAATTTCTTATTTGTATGCGATAATTTTTCATTTGTATTGTATCCGCGGACTGTTTATTTCTTTCGTTACGAAGGATTTCATTGGTCAAGTTTCAGCCTGTATCGGGTTGAAGATGTTCTGGATGCTCAAAGCAAACTGGGCTCATATGTATTTGCTTGATTGATTGATTGATTATTGTTTAACGCCGAGTCGGCAATATTTCAGCCATATTTCGGCGGCATATGTATTTGCGTGCATGTTAGACGGTCATTGGATTCTAAAAAGGGAGCGCTGGTAGATGGCAAATAAATAATCTGTCCTTAGGAATACTGACTGAGAAAATAAATAAATTGACCTTGAGTGGTGGTAACTACCCCCACCCCCAGAAAACTGAGTTTTCGGGTTTGGGCGGATTTTCTTCTTTTTGTTTTTCTCCTTGTCTCTGGTCATATTGGAAATAAATATTCTCTCCTGCGAGAGAATGAAAATAAATAATCGGATTCGACACCCCCCGAGAATCAAATGGTCGTCCCTTAGCATGCACCGCAAATAGAGGAGCCGAGTTTGTGTTTGTAGAGAGTGCGCGATCGGAATTGTGGGAAGGGTACCAGACTAAGTTTGTGATGGGCACCTGAGACCTTTATACAGACTAAATTTTATGACCAATGACATCCTTCGTAACGAAATAAATAAACAATCCTCGGATACAATACAAATGAAAAATTATCGCTTACAAATAAGAAATTATACAATACAAATAAGAAATTATACAATGCAAATGGAAAATATAGAATACAAATGAAAAATTATACAATACAAATGATTTTTTACAACACAAATGGAAAATATAAAATACAAATAAACTTTATACAATCCAAATGGAAAATTATAAAATCCAAATGGAAAATTATAGAATACAAATAAAAATTATACAATACAAATTGAAAATTATACAATACAAATGAAAAATTATACAATACGAATGAAAAATTATACAATACAAATAAAAATTATACAATACAAATGGAAAGTTATACAATACAAATGGAAAAGATCGAATATTGCAACGTTTGACATGCCATAGTATGTATGTATGTATGTATGTATGTATGTATGTATGTATGTATGTATGTATGTATATATATATATATATATATATATATATATATATATATATATATATATATATATATATATATATATATATATAATTCTTCAAAAGATGCTTCTTTGAATTACATACCATTCTAACAAATCCAATAAAAGAAAATGGCCAGATCTAGTCATATGCCAGCTGAACAAAATTATAAATAGTTTTAAGTGTTACATCTAACATAATTTCACAGATCTAATTGTGTGTGTGTGTGAGGGTTTTTTTTATTTAAGCTACATATATTTTAAAGTAAAAAGAAGCATGCAAAACATGCAGTAACTACGATTCAATTTATTGATTAAGGGAACAACTCCAAGTGCTAATATAACCTTGACACAGCCAATGCTTTTGGACACTTCTGTTGAACTTTTCGGACTTACTATCGCTTCCGGTGGTCGTCTGGTATGGAGCAGACAAGGAAATTATGGCCTTCGGACACACTACATTAGAATCCAAAATGGAGGCGAACTTCACATTGGAAGTCAATTCTGCAGATTCAATAAGAAGGCACATATCACGCTTTTGGGTAATATTACATGGCTGGAAAAAAAATCAGTTTATTGATCTGAGTTGAAAAAAATCCCCCACTCTCTCTCTCTCTCTCTCTCTCTCTCTCTCATATTAAAGTGTATTACACTTCTGTACATGTAATGTTAGTACTGAGAAGCTAATATTTGAAGAAAAACCGTCATCCGTCTTGCAAATAGAAAAGCAAATTGAAAATTTCTTAGAACTGTGCGATTTAATTGATAAACTGAAAGTTCTGAAAGTTGACATGAAATTTACTTCCTTATCATTTGAATAAGGTGAACCAGATGAGAAGTTGAACATTCCTGGTTTTGGAGAGAAGTTCATCGGCGTGGAAGCAGGCGGGGTTCTAAATCTGTATGGAAAAGAGAAACTGTCGTGGACCAAACTGACCAAGCATGTTCATAAATTCGATAAAACAAAAGCTGAAATTTACAATCACAGGGTGAGGATATATAAAATGAGAATTTATACCCCAAGTTCTCCTCAATATTACCACCCAAGTTCTCCTCAATATTTTTATTTTTTTTAAATGTAGGATAAGGGAAAAATGATTTGCAATTGCAAATACACAATATTCATTTTTTTTAAAACGAGGGCGATTTAAATTTTTGGTTCAATCTATAGGAGGAGCCCAATATCTTTAGAAATCATGGTCTCTACATATACCACTTCAAGGAAGAATATCCGGCGAACTTTGACATTGAAAACGACCCTGGTCTTATTAAAGTCAATAGTATTTATAGAAAGTTATCATCTGGTGACCAGAATTACATCAACACGGCTATGGAGGACCTCGTAAACTTCATCAACAGTAAGACTTCTTATAATATGTAACAACATACATGTACCATATTCATGAATTAAATTATACGGCAACATTATTTCTATTCTCCATGCATGTTTCATGTTATACAATTCTCCTGATTGTGAAGATTTATATATTATCACATTAGTTGCATCATCGTATTTTACATCATCCTAATTTATGAGGAATTTTGATATTGCTTTTCAAGATTTAAAAAAAATATGTTTTATTATGTATCAATGAATATTAATGTTCAGCAGTCAATATTTTGAACTCTGATTAAAGTTCAAATTTGTTACTTGTTTCATATGATTGACTAATTATTAACAAGGTAATGACTTTTTCCAGCTATACCTGATGGTGACATATATGCCATCGCCACACAGAGACACTTTCTACGTGATTATAAGGACTACACTATGCTGTATGATGCAATCGATGGCCTCGGAACAAACTCTCTCAGAACAGTTGAAAGCGATGATGCCTACGTCGCTGTAGGCAAAAAAGGTATGATATTAGGCAAACTATTTGAAACAATCATAGTAAATGTGTCTGGCTACAAATTACATGAAAACGAATTTCTTCTAATTAAAAATAAAATATATATATGACTATGTAATTTCAATAAGTCCAAAAATATTATTCACAGATTTCACTAATTCTGTTATCAATGATCATTTTTTTTTTAAAATTCATTCCTTTTAAATTTTTATTACAATAGATTAATTAATAGATTATTAAATTAATAGATTATTAAATCTATTACAACATAAAGTGAATGTCCACATAAAAAACAAATATAAAACTCTCTTACAATTAAGAATTGGTCAATTATTTTTTTCTTTAAAGCAGATCGCTTGTCTGAAACAAAAATAATCTACAAAAACATTCAAAAATATGCTGGTAATTGGTTGATTATTTCAAATTTAAACAATATACAATGTACTTTGCATGGTAATGAGTATTTAGTCTTCAAACATCGGATAATAATAGGTGACAGGAAATCGTATACCGAAAAACTGGTGTCAGAGATAGGTCCAGACGGCTACGCTGAAGCTATGGTAGTGTATTACAATGAAGACAGAGAACGGGAGCTGGTTGTGAGTTCTATCAACTACTTAGATCCATTTAAAGGAAAGACGCAGTTTCTTGCCGTCAATACCCTTCTGATCAGACCTATTATCTCAGTCGTAGATCAAACATGGTCTTGGAAAACGGGTAAGTCCTCAATTTCTCTCATAAAACATTTGTAATGTTATTTTCTATTATTCTGATATTGTCTGTTATTATACTAATAATATTTTCTTTTAAAAAGGAAAGGAAATTTTAAACAAATTTACAAGATTTTTCTATATAGAGTTGTCGTAAAATAATCGCTGTTAAATTCGCTTAATTTTCTTTGAAATTGTTAAACACATTAATTTCTCTGCGATACTTTCAGACCGTACGTCTTGGTTTGCTTTGGTATAATATAAAACCTGTTTTCTGATTTTTCGTGCAGTATTCCAGTCGCCGATTTGAGAGGCATGGTTAATCCTCTCTCTCTAAAATTTTGTTTTATTTGCCCCTAGAAACGTATATTCGAATTGTATGTATAAAAACCATAAAAGCAGTGAATTTTAAAGCGATTGTTCTCACTAAGTAGATGGGTACATCTGAAAATTAGATGTATATTAATTGTACTGTACTGATATCGTTAAATAAACACATTGACCTTTGAAAACATATGAGCATTTAGGCCTTGTGCAATCACTGAAATAAGTCCAAGAGTGCGAGAAAACACGTGTTTGTTTACAGGTGATAGAATTTTCATAACTTCTACTGATTATGACTGGAAACAAGTGGAGGAATTCACCATCATCCCCTGTAAGAGTCCCCTGTGTTCCCCTACCACTGTTAGACTCGACCGTAAGTCATAAATATAAATACCATAAAGCAGTATTTTTTTTTTAATGTTAACTTGTTTTCATCTTCAGACAACGTTTATCTGTTTATAGTCGTATAAAATTTTATCTGCATCTCGTCCATTAAAAAAAAATTCTTTGTAGATCCCGCTGAATATGACCATTATGGAGAAATCTATAAAAGAGTAGATATGAGAGCGGAAGTGGGCCTTATGACAAGAAATATTCTTATTGACGCTGAAGTTTCAGAGGGAAATAATAATGGCGGACACATAAAGGTGACTTTTGCTCACATTTTCTTCCAAACGTTTGAGTGGTTTTTCTGGCCACTAGGGCATCTGATTTCTATAGCGATTTTTTTTTTCAAATTTGATTTCCATTTAATTTATTCGTTTCTTATCCATTTAGTTTTTGTACGGATTTAAGGACGTAAGAGTGGAGGGGACAGAAATCACGAATATGGGTCATCCACTGATTTTAGGTCAGTTAAAATATAAACATTTAAAAGTTTTAAATTATAGCTAAATGATACACCTAATCACTGAATATTATAAACCCGATCTAAGGTTTCTTTGCTGCATTTCTATTTTCTTCCTATGACTGTTTGCAGGCAGGTACCCCCTGCATTACCACATGTGTGAAGACCTAGGCAATAGGACTTTGTACGCTAGGCAGTCTGTCATTCGCAAAAATTCCATCCACCATACTCAGTTCCGATGTGTGACAATCCACGGCACACATAGTGCCAGGGTAATGCATCATTTACGTCACAGTGATAAAATACTTTTGAAAATGGACAGAATAAGAAAAAAATATAAGCATTAATGATTTTTTTCTGTTTCACGATGTTGACACATAAATGGCACCATGGTAAGCAAAAATCATAATTCATTGCTTTTGTTATAATATACATTCTCATAGATTTGAAAATTAAGTATGTATACAATTGGTCAAATTGGTTAAGCATGTAATAATTGGTTATCTTTTTCAGCTTCTCGATAATGTTTGCTATGACACCGTGGGTCATGGCTTTTTCCTGGAAGACGGCGGAGAGAAACATACATACTTCCGGGGCAATTTAGGTTTGGGACAACGTGACTTTGAGGGGACACCAGTGCTTGGACAGACAGGAGCTATTCCAACCGACCAGTGTGTATTATCCGAAAATATTACCAACATTTTTGCTGATCATGAGTCGTCTGGAAGTATTTTTACTTAAATAAAATCACCGAAAAGTTGTTGCTGCTTTTAACTTGAATTTGTTTTTGTAGTGTTAATTATCATGTCGCAACTAAGATAAGCTTAATTCTAAAACCATGATCATTTTGTTCACTTTTTTTTCCTATTCAAAAATCAGATAAGACATATTTTATCATTTAGGGGTAAAGGACCTGTCACGTTTTGGATCACCAATCCTATCACTTCTGTTATAAACAATGTGGCAGCCGGTAGCCAGGTACCTTTAAGGTTCATTGATACTCTTATAAGAGAGATAACTCTGACTGGTATAAATTACTATTATTCCTATACTGTCGAGTTAACAGACCATTTTTGTCAAATTTTGCCCCGCAAGGTATACAGAAATTGTGTGCATTTTAATAATAAATTAGATTATTTTTGTATAATCATTAGCGTTAAGGAAAGATTTTATATGAGTGAGCAGAGGGTTGATGAACCTTAAAGACTAGATTTCTGATAAATAATATATTATCTGTTTGATATTGATTATAAATGTTTTGAAATATCAGATCAAAAAAGAATTTTTAAAAAATTCAATTAGGACTATTTAAAATGTTCATCATGTGTAAATTTATTAACTGCCAAGGATAAGTATTCAACTTTTCGTTTCAGGGTATTGGGATGTGGTTTACTTACCCCGATTTACCAACTGGACCGTCCAGAACGAAGAATTTCATGCAAGAAAAGGAAGCGCGTCGCACAAAAATAAAGCTATTTAAAAACAACGTTTTTCATTCAAATGCAAATGTACGTTTCTAATCGGGATCATTTTAAATGGATACATTTTGGAAAAGCTATTACTGCATATTTCCATTCCAGATACTAACCATAGAAAATTTTCATTACTAACCAGTGGATTCTTGAATATTAGTTATAACGTTTACCAGCCTTTTGAACATATTATGTTTTTCAGTGTTATAAGTTTTGATGTTTCGAAATTTCTTCTAATCTGTTCTTCATGCTTCTGCTTAAAATGTAGACAAATTAGAATGTACAAGTCAAAATAATTAAAACCCTCACTGTAGAGGTTGCTGGTGATGACGTTATGTACATTTGACGTCTGTTACTCTGTAGAGCGGGCTGTTTGTTGACAACATAGAACACGACAATCTGACAGTCAGTGGTTACAACATGTATAATCCAATAGAGAATCCCAAAGACCTTTCATCGAAGCCTGTTCCGGCCGTGTTCGAAAGAATTACTGGTAAAAAGTATTTGTTTTGCTACTTATTGGTATCGTCCATTGTCTTCATGAAAGCGATATTCCAGCCAGCCTGCTTACTCTAAATTAGGACTTTCCAGTGAGCCCCAAATATTTATAAATTTGGATCTAGAAATGTGAAATTAAGGACTAGTAAGGGTTTTGTGAATTTCTTGAACTATTAACTTCAAAATCGGCCATTTATTGCAGGACATTGCAATCCGTTGTACAACAAAAGTATGTTTTTAAGTAAAGATAAACAGTACTTAAATACATCCTCGATCAATGTTTTGATAAAGTTCGTTTTACAGCCTTAAACATGTTTTCTTTTTTGAAAATTGGGAAAAATTATCAGTAAAACTATTTCCGGTAGCATGGCGATGTCTTTCTCATCCACTTGTTGAAAAGATTTTTAAAATATACCTCAGTAAATTATTTAGGGAAGACAAATATTTTTTTCTTGTCCTATCTTCTGGAAAGCGAAATACTATTAATTTTATGGTTTCAATAAATAAGATTTATATATTTATTTTCCAGCATACAAGAATAGGGTGCAGAACGCATGGATTCGAGGGACTCCAATGATCGTTACAGATTCATCGTAAGAACATTTTATAAATATTAATGATTCCTGTTCTTGACTGTACATACTCGTATATATAATAAGTTAATTTACATGTACATAAGAAAATGCTGTTCTTTCATATTCCAGGTTTGCAGACAGCTTAAGTGCGGCAATAGTCATCAAGTAAAGGGATAGAATCTTATTTTTTTCCTTAATTCAAAATATAAAGTAATACTAGCAGTTCCTAAAGAGAAACTTTAATAAAGTAATAACACTATCTGTTAAATGTATCTGGAGACAAGAAAGAAAAAATTAAAAGAAAGTTTTTTGTTTGTTTTATAGGGAGAGTGACATATGGGTGGAATTCAGTAATAATGTGGTACTAGGGTATACAGATAATCTGGGGAGTCCCAAGTCGGGGTACACCAGGTCCTTCCCTAACTTTCCGTGAGTATGCTGTGGTTGTAGCAAATCTTTAGGTGTTTTTTTTTTTTACCTATTAAAGATAATTTATTTTATTTACTTTCATGAAATTGATCAAAATATACGTATAGATATACAGCGAAGCCACTAAAATTTTATGAAAATTGCTCCAGTTTTATCAATGGCTCTGCATGGTTGTATGGTCTCTGGTTGAACAATGGCTCTGGTTTTACAATGGCTGTACAATAAGTCTGGTTGTACAATGGCTCTGGTTTTACAATGGCTATACAATAAGTCTGGTTGTACAATGGGTCTGGTTTTACAATGGCTGTACAATAATTCTGTACAATGGCTCTGGTTTTACAATGACTGTGCAATAACTCTGGTTGTACAATGGCTCTGGTTTTACAATGGCTGTACAATAGCTCCTGTTGTACAGTGGCTCTGGTTTTACAATGGCTGTACAATAGCTCTGGTGGTACAATGGGTCTGGTTTTACAATGGCTGTACAATAACTCTGGTTGTACAGTGGCTATGACTGTATCTTCCTTTCCGTTAACTATTTCAAAATTTTGTCATTTAGTTTTTACGTATCTACAATCATTTCCATTTTTATTTTTTTTTTTCTCTGTGATATCTCTTTGAAAGTTCTTGATCATTCTACCGAAATGTAAATTTCGCCAAGCAATAGGTCAGGACCTAAGGTGGCCTAATATGCATGTAAATCTCGTGTGCGTCTGTCTTTGCGTCTGACGCTAAGGAGGCCTAATTATGCATGCATTTCTCGTGAGGCTGTCTTTGTGTTTGACGTCAGTGGGCGGGAACTATTGAAATTGACATGGGAGGCCTCGTGTAATTTAAATCTATTAGTCTACATTTTTAAAATCTAAATTTACAATTTTATTTCATAATGAAATGGAAATATAAGGAATCACTGTCTAGTTAGTAGAATATGCCAGGGACATCAAAGATAATTGGAAACGTGGGATAATTTATGCATAACGGGCTTCTCCCGTTATGCAAATTATCCCACGTGTCCAACTATCGTTGATGCCCTGGCATATTAGAATTACTAAACTAGACAGTGATTCCTTAATATATATATATATATATATATATATATATATATATATATATATATATATATATATATATTCCGTGATTTAGTATGCGCAGTGTTTGTAAGTAAAAACAAATGTAGGCCTAGTTGTAGTTCATATATTTATATTTTAATTTTCAAGAAAATGCGCAAAATTGACGACGTGTTTATTTAGATTTGTACATTATAGGACCATGTTAGTAAACCCAAAATAAAATTTTAAAAGATCAGTAGACAAGTATTTATTATCGAAAGACTTCAAATGTCATTCTTTATTAACTTACATGATGAATTAGTCAAACGAGGGACCAGATTTTGGCGTTTACAATAATATGCCAATTTTGGCCAATATTTAGAGAAAGATTTGTTTAATGTGTATTTGATAGAAGCCCATTCAACAACAGGCACGTACTGTGATTTTTTTTTCTTCTCTTTTCAATGGGGGAAGGTCAAACTTGGAAAAAATAATTCACAAGATACCTCAAAAACTTTAAAAAGCCAAACAAAAAGATAAAACTGACCAAGCTCCAAAAAACTATTTTCGGAAAGGGAGTCCCACTCCTTTTTTCCCCAGCAAGTTTAATCTCGGAAAAAAGGGGGCATGCCTGTCCCATAGCCCCCCTCTCCCCTCACCGATGCTACGTGCCTGAACAACAAATGAAATACATGTAGACCGACACAGCCATTAGCGATATATAATTAGCGAAACGCTAATGATTGATTTTATAAAATATTCTTCATTTTTGTGTTGATCTATGAATTAATATTTATGTCGATTCTAGGTCGAAAGATGTTGTAGGATACCGATTTAATAAAGGACCTGTATTTGTGATGAACACTTGGTTTGATGATTTCACTTCAACCTCCATATATCAGGCATCGGCTCTGACCAACAAACTGTGTTTCTCGCATATGAATGCACAAAATCAAGTTAAAAACTTGTTATTCGGATACAACGATGTGAGTCTCTTGTCTTTACTCAGTATACTGTTGTGTATATTTCACCAATTAAACTAGATATGTTAAAAAAAACCGTTGAGATTACGTTTGTAATCCATTGCTTGTATTTTTTTTAAAGAACATCTAGATCGTCCTTTCACTTTATACTTGCACATATAGAATATAAAAAGATATGGCTTTTTTCACCATCCTCACAACTTTAAGGGTCCTGTGCATGTGAGTCCAATCATGGCCATGGGACTACGAGTGGGCTCAGGACCCCTGACGTAGTGAGGATGGTTTTTAACGGGCTGACTGCACGCTTGTTGTAGGGACCTGATAATAGGTTCAGATTTCGCCAAAATGACCAGTGTACAACTGCGGCTGATGCAATGTTCTCTCTGAAAGATATCGGTAATGATTTGACCGGAAGTAGTGGACCTAATGACGTAACTTTGGTGTTGAATATCCCTTTTCATGTCACCGGTCAGTGTAAAGTGAGGAATTCTTGGAATATTGCTTACTGCCCTTATAATTATGGCGAGGTTAGTGCAACATTTTCATAAGAACGCGCGATAAAATATCAGTAGTGAATCATTTTGTAAGGATGGGGGAAGATACATTAATTAAAAAAGGTTTTCTTTTCAAAAAAATAATACAAAGACTTACTGAGACACAAGACAATATTTTCAGCAAAATCTGAAGTATACATCTTTTAAACTTGGATGTAATCTTGGTTTATTTGAATTTTAAAATCAAAACGGTAAACAATTCAGCACAAAAGAAATTGACCGAGGCAGTGATATTGTCTCTGAACTGTTTTAGATACAAGCTATTTATCCATCAAACGAAAAACTGAGCGTTTACAGAGTGGATGGCGATTCTCCGCAGAAGAGAGACTTGTTAAACAAAGAATTCCTCGCCATTCTCGGCCAAAATGGCAACAATTTTCTATATTTAATGGTGTTTGAAAATGGCATGCCTGCTGCTGTTCATTTTGAAGGAAGATCGGTTACAAAGTATGTAAATGTTACTAGTCATATATTCTAAAATTTGTGGGTATTTCTTTTTAAATTCTGAGATTTTATATAACAAAGCTTTCAAATTGTGGAATTAAAGAATTCACAAAATCTTTATTTATAGTGCATTACTTTACTTCTTTTTGGAAACTATTCGTTTGATGATAAATTTTGCCAACATTTTGCAATTTTATCGCATTTTTTTTATTGCAAAGTCACAGATACGATATATAAACATAATATATATAATAAATGAAAGTTGAAGTAATTTATTGTTTTATGTGAATTCAAAATGAAACCCTGTTAATGAAATATTCTAAGATTTTAGGATATGAAGTTCATCCACCCTTTTTTGAGGGGGGGGGGGGCATTAATAGCATTGACATTATCTAGAACAACTTTAATTTGAGAAAGCACTCAAAATGTTCTTTGTCAAGTTATATATTGCCTTTCTTTGGATCAGGTCAGACACCGCGGTGATGGCCTACTGTATCCCTAGGGACAGTGTCTTATCAGTCGCTTACAAACTTGACGAGGACAGAAGGCCTACTGAACTGGTCAACACACTGGACGAGGTTCTCGGTGATACCGAAGGAGGAAAATTCTTCTTTGACAGACAAGTGGGGTAAGTGTCAGTCTCAGGAAATGTTCCGAAAATATTATTGAGATTATATATTTCTCTTTCTTTGTTTTTAGGCTTTTACTAACTTGTATTTACCCCCCAAAATGGAGGGAAATCAACTTACGATCCGACCATTTGATTCTGAAAGGGGGGGGGGGGTGGCAAAATTTTTCGAGTAAGATTATTTATTTTCTTGCCGGTCCAGGACATATCATTTATTTTCAAAATGATCAAGGTCAGATTATTTATTTTCTTTTTCACAGAATTTTTTTTTTTATTTTCTTGCCGGTCGAGGACAGATTATTTATTTTCAACATTTTCGAGGACAGATTATTATTTTCAAAAATCTGCCGGCCCCCTTCCCCCTCTTTAGAATCAAATAGTCGTTCCCTTTAGAAGCCTTCAAGGTGCATTTTGAGTTTGAATTTCATTTTTTTTCTATTTTACTCAAGTATTCATGTAATTGTCATACCATTTTCAGTGCCATCTTCTTTAAAATGATACATGTTGTTGATTATGCGCCTGGAGAAAAGGCATCATGTCCCTCGGGTCATTGTCCTAGAATCCTCGTCCGTATCGTCAGCGGCAATATGGCTGACACCGACTGTTCCAGCAGGTTCTTTGCTGAGCCTTTCTATCAATATTCCGAAAAGGTAACATAAAATTTATTTACGTTATTTATGACCTACTGTAAACGTGGGGGTAATTTTTAAATGCTAACTTGAATAAACGAAAAATTTTCGTGTAAATTTAATTAAAACTGCACATGTAAATATCATTGTTTACAGTACATTTATTAAATTTGGTCAGTATGCGTTTATATTTTTTTTTTACAATAAGAATAAAATCAAGTGAACGTAAATAAAGATAGAGTCTTATTGCATACTCTATTCGTATATCACAAACATAAGAGAAAAAAATCTTCTCTACAACAAAAAGGACATGTTAGCTAAATTGATATTGATTATTGAAGCATCCCCTTGATGTATGGAGTCAAGTTTAAAATGCCATGGCACCTTAGGGCCAGGGTGGGGCCACGTTTTGGGGCTTGGGGTCAAAATTTTTCTTATGAACAAAAAGGGAAAATAATCTTTAAAAATTCTGAGAAAGAACAGAAGGGCCAGGGTGACTCAGGTGAGCTTTGTGATCTATGGGCCTCTTGTTTTTATTTTTTAACGATTTTCTTTTTTTGGTTATTGCAGTTTTGGAATTGAATTTTATTAATGTTTGTGTGGTTCACCGTTTATTTACCGTACTGTGGACAGTATCTTAAATTATTAATTTCATGCAGTTCACTCCCATTATTGATTAAAAAAAATCAGAGACTCTTAATTATTTATTTTCAGGGAAGTCCAACAGTTGATAATAACCTTCTACAAGCCACAGCTACAGAACCGCCGGAGGTACAGTCACTACATGTACATGTACATGTAAACTGAAGAAGATATGTAGTATCTAAATACTATATTCTATAATCTAACAAATACATATTAATGCAAAAGTCCAACAATGATAAAACTTCAATGATAACCACTTTACCAACTACATGTACAAGGTATAGTTATTCACAGTAGATAACCACGCACGTCCTTAATTAGTACCCAGAAAGTCATGACCATGAGGAATTACGTACTTTGTCATTGATTAGTGCAACTAATTTACTTAATTGTCCTAAAAATGCATCTAGGAGGACGATATGGATATTAAACATTAATAATGTCTTTGTCCGAGATAAAACTACAAATAGTAAAAATCCTTGATTTCTACATAAAGCTACTGGTTCATCGATAGGCGTGGTTAAAAAAAATCAAGTGCGGGCGGGGCAAATAGAGACAGAAGCGGGGCTTGTAGCACGTGAATTTGTGGAATCAAAAGCATGTAAATATAAGGAATATTTAATTTTTCAGATTTTTTGGTTTCATGACGATGATCAAGCGATTGGCTTGCGTGATAATAATATGCACAAACGCCTTCGGCGTTTATGCAAATTGTCACGCAAGCCAATCGCTTGATCACATCATGAAATCAAAAAATAGACAGTTATTCTTTAATAAGACGGAAACTGTCCTTTAAAAAATCTTTTCTGCACTTGGGTATTTACATTTTGTAGTAGACAATCTAATTGCATATGATGCAATCTCTCACCAGATGGCGCGCTCCGCAATCTTCACTTGATATGCCCTCTGGTGAGAGATTCGGTTATGATGAGAAAGGATGCCTCTCCCTAAATTATGAAAATTTCGGTCAGTGGTTCTGATGTTGGGGTGGTGTAGTTTATAAGGGGGTCTGTTCCAGCTTTCGGTAAATATTTCAAAAAATGAAGAGGGAAAAAAATTGAGGTTTCAGCGAGGCTCGAACTCGCGACCTTCTGCGTGTGAAGCAGACGTGATAACCACTACACCATGAAACCTCGCATAAACCTGTGTGCGTTGGTAAAATGGAAATAAATCGCACCTGATTTTTATCTTATCTACATGTATTACCTGTACGTTGTCAAGTTAGAAAAAAGCCCAATATCTAACTTGTGAAAAAGCAACGTAAACTAGTAGTTGTTATAAATGTTGGTGTCAAAAACGAGAATAATGTATTCTAGGGTTATTGATTATGAATTAATTATCGTCACCTTAATTTTATGACAAAAGGGAGCGGCTGAATGACCGACTATTTTATAAGTAGACATGGTAATACTTTTTACAAGGATGTATATATATCCTTGAGATCACAGTTGCGAAAAAAAATTGACGGATTACTTTCTTAAACATTAATCAGAATTTCTACACTGGCCTCATGTACTATAAATCAATAAATTTTATTTGAAACCATATCTTATTTTAAAGTACAATTGAATGGGATACGGGACAGCTAACTATAGGCATAATTCATGTAACTTTTTTTCAAAGGGGGGGGGGGATATTGAACAAGCACAAGCAGTTCTTTAATCGGGGGGGGGGGGTCACTCTTAACAGAAAGTTGTGGAGAGGGGCAATATCGGCCTAAAGTGAAAATTTCAATAAAAAATTAACGGCAAAGGGTTTCTCAGAAAAAAGTGGGGTAGAGGGTCCCCCGCCCCAAGGGCCTGTATTTAATAGACCCCTCTTTTTATGCGTTAGCCAATATTTAATGGTCAAAATAGAAAAATCTACAGACCTGAATTTAGTGTTGCTTGATCAGAAAGTTTCATGCTGTGTTTCTAATTTCTTTAAAAATATCGGATAGAACCAGCGGTGCGATATGACATACATACATGTAGATGTTTTAAATAACCCTAGAATATGTCATGCTGAAGTTAATTGGATCTTAGATAGAACGTTCTATCGTTAAAATGATACTGTCCTATGGATCCGGTGGTGAGGGCTTATCCCGAGACACAGTTAGATTATTCTAACTAATTGGATCTGATCCATGTTTGCCAAGCTTTAGTAGCTCTGCAAATAACTTGTAACTGTTGTATATCTGTTTGGTAAAAAAAAAAAATTATGTCATATTTATCATTGAATAATAATTTGCAAAAAAAAAGTAATAAAAATAAAAAATAAAAAAAAAAATAAGATAGAATAAATATAATCTATCTATACATGATTTCTTCTTCTTTACAGAACTGGGGTGCTGGATCAACATATCCACAGCCATATTAACACCAGATCAACACCAGATTACTTGTCCGGATGAAAAAAAGAACAAGATATATAAACAACTGATAAAGAAGCCATCTTCCCTTATATAAAACAATAAAAAATAAATATGATATTTTTTATTTGGTTGTGTACTCAATATACCTAAAGCAGTATGATTTTGAAAATTGCAGTACATTTGTATTTGAAAACCTCAGAGAACAGGATAAAAAAAATAAATGTCTATTACCAGTTTAATTCTTTCTGTCTTCTAAACAGATGTTTGATGAGTAATAAAACTCATGCCCCGCTGATCCAGGGATCAGGCCCAAAGGTTGGACTAAGTCATACACATGTACATTGAAGTTTGTTAGATCGTGTACTTTATTTTCTTTACACCTGAAATTCTAAGAGACAAGCTACATAACTATAATAATGGTTGAATAGTGCTCATCAGACTTTGTGACATGAGACTCCTAACGGGGGGCCTAAGTAATCAATCATGATACAGGTGACTGTAAGGCCTGTGGGCTTCTTGTTCATTGATGTGAACAGGAGACTTCATGTCAAATGAATAAAATTTTCAACAGCGAGCAAAGAATGAACAGAAATTAAAAGCATGGAAATTGTGTGTGTGTGTGTGTGGGGGGGGGGGGGGGGGGGGTAATAATGATTAGATGTTCTGGTAATGAAAATAACAAACTTTTCTTTCCACATAACTTTATTACAATTATTAACACAGGATTCATGAAAGTGATTGCCTTAAAGCTGCTATAGGCATCTATGAAGTTGAAACACTTATAAATGTTAAGCACCATGGTAACATATTTTCATCTTTCAAAGAAAGTTAAGAAAACTTGCAAAATATTAAAAAAAAATTATATAGTAGTAGGTATCACAAAGATAATAAACACGTGGAACATGTGAAATACATGTATGCTACACAATCCAGGCTGACTCAATCACTATGGATCCAACATTAGAAGAGATTTTCATGTTACCCTCCTATTGTTTTGAATAAACATGTATTTTGTTGAATATCTCAAAAAAGATTGGGGAAAAAATCTTACAACTTACTTTTTCTTCTTTGTAAATATTACATTATGTCAAAATAATTCACAGAAATGTAAATTATACAAGTGACACAAGTGAGATTCTGTTGGATATCTATCTTATCTAGATCTTTCACATAAAGTTTGTCTTTAAAATACCCCCCCCCCCAAAATTTTAAAAATAGACTGACAGACAGATGACTAACCTGATTTTTAACTCTTGACCAGGGTTCTTCATAAGATTCTGGGGGCTGGGGAATTTCCCCGCCTATAATGACAAAAATCCCCCTATTATTTTGGCATTGCCCCCTCAACCCCCATTTGAGAAGGGACCCAAGACACCCTTCTATCTTTAGAATGTCCCCTTCTATTTTACCGTAATTCTGAAGGACTACCCTGCTTGACAAACACACAAATAATTCATTCAAGATATCCTTCTAAAACAAGGATTCTTTATAAAATATGTACAACAGAGAGGGTGAAAAATCACAATATACTTCGACAATGGTTTGCTAAATTAAATCAATATTGATAGAATAAATAGCACATAACATACATGTAAGATGAGGAAATGTATATATAGGGGATATAATAAACAATAGCTACTCAATAAACAAAAACAAAAAAATGACCTATTAAATTGATACATAAATAAAGTTTTTTTTTTTTTCCAATTGTAATCAAGGTATCGTACAAACATTCCTGAGACACCAATTGTAAAATTGAGCAGATGGAGACAATATTCAAATTCTCTATTGGTCCTAGCCTCTGGACATCCCCTTTGTGTAGAGTGACATGGTACCATTGTCATAACCATAAGTCCTGTACAGATTACCCTTCACAGCCACGTCCTCCAGAGCTCGTATCATCATGATTGACAGCTTGTGCTCCTCCTGTGTGACCTTTAACCTTGTAAACATGCTGGACAGAGCAGAAATGTAAGCATCAGTCAAGTTTGCTTCACGGTTGACCGAGGCTACAATACCAATCTTTCTTGATTCTGCAACTGCTGCTTGCTGAATTTCATTGGCTAGAGAGATAAAAGTTCCTGTATTAATAATTAAGTTCCTATACATCAGTTTATGTACATGTACAACTGTAACTGTAAAAGAAAGCAGTGTCAAAAGAACAAAACAACTCTGCAATATTTCTGCCTTAATCAATTATAGGACTCTTGTAGCATTACAATGAAAGGTACTGTATCTGCACCCATCATGCTATGCAGGTGACACAAAAAAGCTTACTTGAGCCCCTAGCACAGCTGAGCTTTTAAAAGTACAAGTGCTGAAAATTGTATGCTGTATTTAGCTACCCGGTATTATTATGTATACCTGTATTACGTAATTTCGTTGTTTCTCGCAATGTCTTTTTAGTTTCCACCATTTTCTCCTGAATAAACACCTCTCTATCAGCATTTTCCTATAGATTAAAAGGAGGAAATCTTGTAAACATTAGCTATCCAAATCCTAATACATGGTGTCTTTAACAGAAATAAAAACTTCTTGTTCAAGTGACTATACTCTGGATGTTATTGAAGAATGAAAATTATTAAAGATCAGTAGAGCTCATCTGGCACATTCTTTGTATTTAAGAAGAAAGCTACCTTAGAGATATGGAGAATGATTTATATGGATCACAAGTTAATCAAGCAATTGAAGTTTTTTCCTTGTATACTCAAGATCTATCATTGAAAAATATTTACACCTAATTGCACAATCATATGTTATTGTTTTGAATTTTTTACTTGTGCTTATTCAAGCACATTCAAAATTTACAGCAAACAGCTCATGATAGGCATAAACCATTTCTAGTATAATCATAAATTAACACTATCATTATCTCTTAAAAGTAATACATATTTATATTTATTTTAAAGATCTTATATTGGCAGTACATATGAATTCAGGGATAAGTGCACAAAGGAGAGCACAATAGGTGATATTTAATACAGTAAAACATGGTTTATGTAGTGAACACACTTACAGTCAATTCAAGCATTTTCAATCCCTGTGGTTTTAAAAAGTATTGTAATCTTAAAAGATATAACAAATTAACTTTATAATGAATCAAAATCGGTCATCCCTGGCATATCACTATATGCATGTTTTACTGTATAAATCTTGCTAAAATGAGTACATGATCTTTCTTTATACAGTGATAAACAAATCTGCCAGAAGTAGTTGGTTAAGTTTAATAAATTTACTAATCATATTGAACGCTATTTTACATTGACAAATTATCAAAAGAACCATCACTTTGCAATACTATGAACTATTGGAGCTGGAACATTTATCTGTGCTAAAATTACAATTAAAAAAGGAAAAAATGAACAAAACTTGCATACAATAAATAATTCCCTGCATTTTGAAATACTGATCTGCATGTTTGGAACAGAATCACTTACTTAAAACTGCCTCTGAAAATAACAGACATTTTAGTGGTATATTACTATAACTGAATTTAAAAAGGTCCTCACCTTAAGCAGAGTCCTGGTGAGGTACCTCTCTGTTATCACTGCAGGGATATCCACTTTACCAAAGTGGAAAAACTCTACATTGATGTGGAAAGCCTTGTTACAGGAACTTGAAGAAGGACAGAGGGAGCACAGAGTTATGTTCTCACAGGTGCTTGGACAACAATCAGGACAGCAATTTCCTGTAAAATACCAAAAAAAAAAAATTTATTGTTCATCTTAAGACTGCATAATATTTATTTAATAACCAGTTAAGGGTGATTTCTATTATTAATCTGATCTTCATTGAGAATTCACACATTCAAGACAGAAGGAGGTATGAAATAAAGTGTACTACAATTACTCTCATTGTTTTTCTTCAATTTTCCCAAATTTTAGAAGAATTGATGTTGCTACATATACCTTCCAGCCTTTCTTTCAATTTTCTATGAAAATATTTTTCCAGCACGGGTCGATGTAATCGGAACTGATCCACACTGAATGGAACAGCCAGGTTTTTCATTTCACTCTCTATCACACTTCGAATGACATCATCATAACCAACTCCAAATTCTCTGTGCAGTGCTCCAAGTTCCTTCTTTCTAAAATCAAGTTAGACTCAAATGTTGGATAAATGATCATTCATCCTTTAAACATGTATAAGGAATTTCTTGTTTCAATTCAAGGTTCATAAACCCTTTGCTCACTCATATAAAATGTTTCTTTAACTCTTATGATTTTCAAAAGGAAATGTATTTGTTAAGTGAAATACAAACAATTGTAGCATGGCTTGCGGGGCAAAATTGGACAAAAAAGACACTTCAACTTGACAAATTTATAAAGGAATAATATTCATTTATGTCATTAAGAGTTATCTCTCTTATCAGAGTATCGATGAACCTTAAAGACCAGTGAAGCATCAAAAGTATCATTACATTCTTACTTGATGAAATATTGCACATGGTAGGTAATGTCAATGGGCAGTTTGTCCAGTGTGAATACTCCATGAGTCTTGGACACAGTGTGGGCAGTTGCATCAAACTCCAGAAAGCCCACACTAGGCCCCAGGATGTAACAACCAAACTCATAAGTGGTGGATCTATCAACCATGCCAGTGATTTTGTTATATTTCAAGGCCATCTATAAAAAAGAAATAGCGTTCATTCTAACAAAACATCAATACTCTCTCATTTTCAGAACAATAAATGGATGGGAGAAGAGTGAGACAACCATTTAAAATGTTGGTTTTTTTTTTCTTTATTCAAGTGGACATATTATCTATACAATCTGATTAAAATCAGATCCTTTGATCCGCTCACAGGGATCTGAGGAAACTCCATTTAGGGTCATCTCCTGTTGACCTTTCTAATAAAAATATTCATTAAAATTTTGACCAATCAGAGAGATCATACTTAAGCGACATTCGGGAAATGAATGTAGAGTGAAAGTAGCTGAGGAGATCTTATCGTTCCGTACAAAACAAAGAGCTAAAAAAGAAAAAAAAACAAGACAAAAGCAAATACTAAATATACATGTATTTCTGTTCAGAAGAAACTGTTTTCATTCTTTTGACAGGCTAAGGAAACCAGGTCACAATTTTCCGTTCGTGAATCATTGGGGCTTTCACATTTGTAGCTGAATTCCGAGATACATGTACTTCAAAATTCTTGGAAGCAAATGTTTGATTTGATAATTGAAAGGTCACCAGGAGATGACCCTGAATGGGGTTTCTTCAGATCCTTGTGTAGCAATCTATGTGAGCGGATCAAAGGATCTGATTTTAATCAGATTGATTATCTATACACCAAAGGATTTATCGTGATTTATTCTTATCTCAAATGTAGCTTTGAAAATTATTTAGTTTCCAAAAATTGAATTAAAAATATTTAGAGTGGCTATAAATATTATATGATCATGTAATAGAAACATTTTCTTTAAATCACTAACTTGTTGATAACAGAAACTCTATAAAAATAAATTTTTACCTTATGATAATCTAAATAAACAAAGCTGGATGGGAAGACGCCTAAAAAGACAATGGCTGAGATGATCCCTGTCACCAGAATGACTGCGCAGCACAGCTGATTAAATGATATGTTCTCTATACGACGGTGAATAAACTTCTGTAGACGAGATTGCGACTCCTCCTCTCTATCGGAAAATACAGATCAATTAACAAACCTCAACAAAAACATTCTATCCTTAAAATGGTCTTTATAAACTCTTTTATATATAGTCAAACAGTATATTCTGATAGAGATACATGTGCTCTTTTAAAATGTTATTTTTTTTCAAAAAAGCAAACCAAACATGTTAATCAGATTTCAATGAATGTTCAGCATCAATGGACAAAAAAATCTCTTATCAAATGGATATATAATCATTGATTATTTTTGAAGTTTAATATCATCTTGAGGTAAAAATAAAACCATGGCAGATTATTAACTTGAATATATTTACTTTTGACAAATAAATCTCTATGTCTTAATATTGATATAACACTATATTCTAACCTGTCTTCGTTCCTCCCTTCCTCTATTCTAAACACACTGGCAGAGGAAACCTCAGGTCCAGGTGGTGGAGCTTCATCTATATGTAGATCAGATGTACCATTAAACATACAGATTGTGAATCTCATTTAAAAGTGACCTCCAAGATGGTGCAATGATTGCTATGAGAAGTAGAATTTAAATGAAAGGTTTGTTGATGTATAACTGACAGAATCACCAAAATAAACATCAAATTTGGGCTTACCAAAAAGAATACCCAAAGAATGCTAGAACCTTGAAATTCACCCCCAACCCCCTCCCCTGCAGAATCCTCTTGCACTGCAAACTGAAGAGTTTTGATTCTGTTATATTTTTATGCAGTTAGAGTAATCTGCCCTTAAATAACATAAATTGAAATCTACAGTGTACTACTCAATTTTCAATCAATTCAGGCATTCTCGACTTTCTAATAGACCAAGATTAAAAGATTGAACACTTTATTTGCAGGACTTTCCTCCACTCAAGTAAACAACAGAGATTTCTGCTTATCAATCATTGTCTTTTTATTAACATTTTTCCTGGGAGTAAATGCTAGGTACCCTATGTAGGTAAGGTTCATTGTACAATAAAATTTTCTCAATGTCCAAAAAACAATTTGCTTTAATGTATAGATTTGCTTTAATGTATAAAGGGTAAAGATGCTCTCTTTACAAATTTGTTCTAATTCATATATTGCATATACAGAAGCTATATTGACACTCATTTAATGTATATTGCCCTTCAGCTCTCTGAATATCAATTTACTATCAGCAGAAAAACAATTTAACTCTTTTGTTTTCTGACATTTTGTGCCATCTCATCTTGAAGTATTTCCATTTAAATAACAGGATCATGATTTTCCAAATTTAAGAAAAAAAATTAAAAATCAAATTGTAACCTCCCCCCCTCTCCCCCAAAAATGAAGCGTTTGCCAAGTCTAAAATTCATACACTAATGTAAATATTTGTGACAAAAATCGTTTTGTTATCAAACATGATTTATGATCATTTTCAAAGAAGAAAACTTTTTTGCACACAAATGAAATGTATTACATATGTATTACACTGCATCTAATTTACATATGGTATACAAGAAAATTTTTGCCCCTATTTTATTTTCGCCCCTTCACCCTTGTCGCAAGTGGGCAAATTTAAAATTGGGTGAATTAAAAGAAGACTGCATTATCTGTTATAAATAAAGATATGTGTTTGGCAAATTTAAAATGAGGCAAATTTGTTTGGAAGTGTGAGAGGGCAAAAATAACACCGGGGCAAAAATAACTCTGGATGCAGTATACAGTTTCATTGGCCCTCACCTAATGACAAAAACGAGGAGGAAAGAGAAGCTGGTGGAGTTTTCTGTGGTACAGGGCCAGCATAAGAAGCTGAAAGACAATGATCAAATGATAACAATTAATACGATCAATTACAATGTTTCATTATTAGTTATAATCACAATCATTTTGTACACACATAAAGTCAAGTGTGTGCAACAGGTACCCATCATGAGTGGCAATGTAATCTAAATTAGATTTTCTGATCCACTCAGTTAAGAATTTGAATTTTATATGAATTTTTACCAGAATCTTGATCCTCCCTAGGAACCGCATATAAATCTCTCCTGGCCCCTGGACTGCGTGGTCGATACTGGTCATATGGTGGTTGAAGGGGACCCTTAAATAGCAATTTCAATAGATTTTTTTGGGAAGAAGAATTCCAAGCATGTTTTAACTAAAAATAGCATTTACATTTAACACTGAAAATATATTAACTATCTTAAAGTAGTTGTAGATCAAAGCACAGACATAAAACACAAAATGTGATCTTATCATTACACACTTACACTAGTGTCAATTCTTTCACATTCATTTTGACATTTCTCTCTCTCTTATCTTACTTACATGCTCTGCTTCATCAAGTCCATCTCGTGATGAAATTCGATGATCATCCTCTGATGAGGAAATTCCATGATGATCATCCTCTGATGAGGAAATTCGATGATCATTGTTGCTTTGATCTCTGACATAAAACAGGGAATGTGATATATATACACACAACATGGTAAATTTTTTTTATTTCAAAGTTTGACTTTGCATTCTATGAACATGGTAAATTCTATGAAGTTAACACATTAGCTGAATTTCTAATGGTAGGATAAATCTAAGATTGTCATCAAACATCAATATGTTAATTCTTTTAACTTATCAACATATTATTAAATGCATGTATATTCATTAGTGTATCAATGACAATTTATTAAAACATGTATTCTTGAGGGTGCTAATGCCCATGATCCAACCTCCTCATACAAGAAATTATCATGATGTATTAGCTTAATGAATTGCTATTATCATGATTTTAAATATCCTGTACTAACTTAATGGACTGCTATCCACACAAAGGTTTGCAAAGGAATAAGTAAGATACTAGGCTAGGTGTCCCACATTATCACAGTGTTCGATGATACATCTACTTACCTCATTCTCATAGCCTCATCATAGGTTGGTAAATGCTCTAAAAAAATCACATTATTGATTATTACTATATCATACAAGAGAATAAATCTAGACACAGAAAAAATCCCTAGTTTTGATAATTCAAACATTAAAACAAAATAAAAAGTGTTGCCAAAGGTGTAGATGAAATCCTATACAATGCTGTGTTTCAGAATAAGAACATGAACATAATTTCAACTGTCCTAAGGGGATTAATACCCCCTGCAAGCATGCATTAATGAAAATCTAAATATGAGAACCTTATAGTATTGCAGGTACAAACAATTTGATGCAGTCTCGGAACTTCAAGTGTATACTATTTAGTATACATTTTGACATATTTTTTATCATAATGAACCTTTAAGTCAGGCATCTGCAATCTCTGCGTAACATTGCTTAACAAACCCCTACTCTTCCAGGCCCCAGTTCACAAAGTACTTATGACAAAGACCAAAAAAAATGTTTTTGTGAATTCTTCTAAGCAATAATCTGAAACATAGGTAATCAGAGATTACAGAGCTCACCTCAACGAATGTTGTCTTTAAGTAAGGCAAAGTCCCACACTAAACTAATAATCTAGGAGTGTGCATCCCTAGATGCAACATTTATGCAATTTTGGTCTGATAGGGCTTGCAGTTACTTGGGAATAGACTTATCTGAAAACTTAAAACTAGTCACTCATCCAGAAAATGTAAGTCAAATCCAGCATCCGAAGCAAGTTTTGAGATTGTTCGTCCCTTGATGCATCATCCATGCAAGTTTGGTTCAGATAGGCCTTATAGTTACTTGGAAATGAGATCTGCTCCAAAAACTTTAACCTGGTTACTCATCCGGAAAATGTAGGTCACATCAAGCATCCGAAGCAAGTCCAGTAGTGTGAATCCTTAGGTGTATCATCCATGCAAGTTTGGTCAATATAGGGTTTATAGTTACTTGGAAATGAGATCTGCTCCAAAAACTTTAACCTGGTTACTCATCCGGAAAATGTAGGTCAGATCCAGCATCCGAAGCAAGTCCAGTAGTGGGAATCCTTAGATGTATCATCCATGCAAGTTTGGTAAATATAGGGTTTATAGTTACTTGGAAATGAGATCTGCTCCAAAAACTTTAACCTGGTTACTCATCCGGAAAATGTGAGTCAAATCCAGCATCCGAAGCAAGTCAAGTAGTGTGCATCCTTAGATGTATCATCCATGCAAGTTTAGTCAATATAGGGCTTATAGTTATTTGGAAATGACATCTGCTCCAAAAACTTTAACCTGGTCACTCATCCCAAAAATTGAGGTCAGATCCAGCATCCGAAGCAAGTCCAGTAGTGTGAATCCTTAGATGTATCATCCATGCATGTTTAGTCAATATAGGGCTTATAGATACTTGGAAATAACATCTGCTCCAAAAACTTTAACCTGGTTACTCATCCGGAAAATATAGGTCAGATCCAGCATCCGAGGCAAGTCCAGTAGTGTGCATCCTTAGATGTATCATCCATGCAAGTTTGGTCAATATAGGGCTTATAGATACTTGGAAATGACATCTGCTCCAAAAACTTTAACCTAGTTACTCATCCATAAAATATAGGTCAGATTCAGCATCCAAAGCAAGTCCAGTAGTGTGCATCCTTAGATGTATCATCCATGCAAGTTTGGTCAACATAGGGCTTATAGTTACTTGGAAATGAGATCTGCTCCAAAAACTTTAACCTGGTTACTCATCCGGAAAATGTAGGTCAGATCCAGCATCCGAAGCAAGTCCAGTAGTGGGAATCCTTAGATGTATCATCCATGCAAGTTTGGTAAATATAGGGTTTATAGTTACTTGGAAATGAGATCTGCTCCAAAAACTTTAACCTGGTTACTCATCCGGAAAATGTAGGTCAGATCCAGCATCCGAAGCAAGTTCAGTAGTGTGCATCCTTAGATGTATCATCCATGCAAGTTTGGTCAGTATAGGGCTTATAGTTACTTGGAAATGAGACCTGCTCCAAAAACTTTAACCTGCTCCAAAAACTTTAACCTGCTCCAAAAACATTAACCTGGTCATTCTTTAGCTGAAATTGCAGCATCTGAAACCTTGACTGGTACAATAAAAAAAACTAGAAGCATCCTCCATGCATCTCTGACTAATGTAGGCCATAGAAGTACTTGAAAAGAAAACTGCTCCAAAAACCTTAACCTGGGACGCCGACGCCGAGGGTATTACATAAGCTCCCCCAACTTCGTTGAGGTGAGCTAAAAATGTACATGTATATGGTCTTTTTTTTGAGAATTTGAAATACATTTTTAGAGAGCAATTTTTATCTAAAATATTGGGTAGGCAAGATGTTCTGAATAACTAAAATTGGTCTTAGTTGTAAGTTCTTTTTGTAAAAGGGGCCCCTGAATCTTTTGTTCTTGATTAAGCCTTGGCATAAGATTAAGACACAACCTCTGGTCAAAAGCAACTAAACTGTACCCAGTATAAGTTTCTATTGTTCCTTATCTGGGCAAAACTTTACACTTTGAAGACATAACACTGATCTTGGCCAGTACCTTATCCCTGAAAAACTCATGGCCTGAACAAAAGGAGGGAGTGTCAGATGGACAAGGTGGTTCTTACTTACCCCACCCCCAAAAAAGAGGATGTGGAAAGAACAAGTATTCTGTACATTCAGTGACTTTTCATAAAAAAGTGATCATGATTAAGAAGAAAAATGTGTATAATCTGTGGACTTACCATCCTGTTCTGTGTTGTCATGGAGTGGATTGCTTTGGTTATTCTCTGCTAACCTCACTAATATAAATACATGTACACGTAAATAAATATTACAAAATGGAAACTGTACTCAGATTTATGAAGCATTTTTATGTTACATTGGCTGTGACATTACCAAGAAATGCCCATGCAGAAAATGAAAAGAAATGTTACAAAATGCATGAACTATATTGTATGTGTAGTGCATTTATCATCAATTACAATTCATACATACCACCAACTTCATGTAGTTCTGGAAAAAATTAAAATAGTTAAAATTAAATAATGTACTCTGGGAATGAGTAAGGTGGATCATAAAAACATAGATGGAATAAAATAATTTGTATAAAATTGTGTTCTTTTTCATACCTTGTGAATGAAATGATATCAATCAATATCTTGCTTATAAATTTGTACAATCTGTGTGTACAACACTATACATGTTCTAAATATATATGCCCTCCGACTTCTTCTCTTTAAACAGTTTGAAGGAGGTTAGCAAATCTCAGGAACCTTATTATTATATAGACTTATAAAAAAAATAACCCGATCTCGGTCTTACTGCCTGTTCATCGGAACAAACAATGGCCTTGCTAACTGCACTGTACAACAATTTGCCTTACCCAATCCTTGGCTTTCAACCTCTTTCTGCCTCTGGAGAGTCCTCCTTGCCGCTTCCCGCATTTTTTGCTGCTCGTCCTCTTCATCTGAAAATTAATATTTATCACACGTGAAATGTGGGGGATATGCATATTAATCTTTACCTTTCTATCATCTAATTTAAGTGCACTAAACCTGCCATAATGAAAATAAATAACAACAAAATTAATAATAATCGATGTATACCACGTACAATAAAATTTTATTTACTGGATCTTTAAAATATCTCTTTTGAAACATGATTTCAACACTGCAAGACAGACAAAAGCTCTTAATCACTTTATATGATTTTTCTCTATCTAAAAAAAATTGAAAAATTGTTTGGTTGCAAATAAAACACTTTATAGACCTAAAAATTTGCTGCTAATTAATGCATAATATGAATGTATAGTAATCTAAACCATTTCTGTTTGTTTCAAGACTACACATATACTTGTGTAGATAACAAGTAATATACAACAACCTGCGACTGTCTAGCTTTTTGTTATTGTTTTTTTTCTTTTAAAGGGATTGGATTTAAATACATCAAATTAAAAGTTTGCTGGTTCTTTATTTCTAATGCCCTATTCACATGGAGAGTTTAATTCAAATTAAATGTAAGTTACTGCAAATTAAATCTGAATCGCGTTCACACAGAGAATTTAATGCGAGTTTTTTTAATTTGAACTAATTTACTGCACATTAAATTACTTCGCATTAACTCCATGTGAACGCTAAGCCAAGCTAATTCAAATTAATTCTGATGTATACGTAATAGCAAAATTAAGCCACCTGCCACATGTCAATGTTCAGATATCAGTACATGTACTTACTCTATTTCTGAGTGAAAAATATAAAAAAATTAAGTTTATCACTAAACATCTGTACAGACACTATGATATTATGTCAAATGTAATCTGCTGTGCATAAAGTGACATAATTTGCAAATGAATTCATAATAGCCTTACTATATAGAAATACAATTTTAATTCGTTTTAGTTTACTTCGCATTGACTGTCGTGTGAATGCAATTTAATTTGCATTATTTTAATTCGCACTATTTTGCTTCAAATTAATTTACTGAGAATTAAACATTTAATGCACATTTGTGTGAACAGGGCATACAAGTAGTGTAAAACAACAAACTTACCTCTGCTCTGCCTTCCGTCACCGCTGTCTGACATGACTGTCTGAGGGGAAGTTCACCCACTTCCTTTTTTCTGAAGATCTGCCTACAACTTGCATTAGATGATTATACAAGTAGCCCCTGTATATAAGATGTTTCTATAACCTATATTTATCCACCCCCAGTTGCAATAATAATGTAGCCCTTTCCATTTGGTGAGGTGGGGGTGAGAACATCAAATTCAACAAAAATCGGAGAGGGGTATATCACTCCCATACATGTAACAACATATAATTTGTAATCTTTTTTTTTTTACCGTTCAGACTCAATTTCATATGCAGTAGCCCAATCATCATGATCATAACCTCCATATATTTATTTACTCAGGGTTCACAGTTTGTATTTCGAAATTGATGGATGAATTGTTGCAGATTATTTAATTCATTAGAATCATAATTCTTTACTGCATCGAAATGATTGTACTTCATACAGTGAGACATTTTAATTTTCTTACCTCCTCGATTTCACATCCTGTGTAGGATCTTCAGTGAGTTAAAATTTAAGGTGTGACAAGTCATAATGATAACATTTGTTTACAAGAAAATTGAAGTACAAACACCCAAAAGACTCAGATTCAGATTGTATACACTAAAAACTAAAACAGAACAGCTTCGTAATTCCCGAAAAAATCGCAAAATTTTATGAAGGAACCTATATAATATATAGTGAGTATATTGATTCCTGATTATATACTGCATTTACATATTAGGTAATAACATTGAGTGGGGGGTGGGTGGGCAAATGACCTTTCAATAACGCCGTTTATGTAGTGTAGAAATTCATTGAAAGGTATGAATTAGTCTGTAATTGAAAAAAGGGGGAGGGGGGAAATCCCCCAACCCCACCCTTCATACTTCATGACTAGATCTATCAGATAAACTTTACAATTTTAAGGATATATTCTGCTGAGATAAACTTGAATTAATCTTTCTCTTTTGGCAATTTTATTCGTTATTTGAAACAATTAAATTAGAAACCGAAAATTATGAGTTAGTGAGCATATTTTTAAGATCTAAAACATTTAAAATTTGGAAACCATTATATTTATTTTTAAAATGATATTGCTGTAACTTATTTAAGTAAGGTCAAATATTCATATTCTTTCATTACTGCTGGGCCATGTTTGCCCTAACCTTAGTAAATATTGAGCTTTTTGTAACATAAAAATTATATGCTAAATGTAAATAAAGATTGAAAGTAGCTGAAAATCTCAATCTTTCTTTAATGGCAACCAACACATCTAGCATTTAGTTTTATATATATTTTATATTTTGATAATGATAAACAGATTTTCATCAAAATCGGTGACCATGCGAGCCAAAAAGGTTAAAGTACACGTAGTTACTTAAAATGTCAGCGTTTTCTTATTTATGGTTGAGGGGCCTAGATATTCATGCACTTGTGTTGCCGTTTTGTTTACAATTTTGAATTTTCCTTTTGTTGCATCTTTATCCACAATGACGTCAATATTTAGTTTCCCAATGAGTTTTTTTAAATTTTGAAATTATGATTTTTTTCCCTAAATTTTTAACTAATGGAAATGGCGAACATGAGCCCAAATTATCAGGATCGGAAAAATATAGAAAACACATTCTAAGACGTGTAATATATATCTATATTTAAAATTTTTGTTTTTTATTAAATAATAAAAATGTAAGATGACCCGAGAGTGCATCTCTAAACCATTTCGTCTTTTAATGACCCAATGTACACTAATGCAAAATGTTTCTTGGACTTTGAGGAAATATAAAGGTGTAAATATTGAGTTTATCTTTTTCATTTTCAACAGACATTTACTCATCGGAAAAATGTTCAATCAGTAATGGACTGTAGATATTAATTTATTTAATCTTAAATCTAAAGAAAACTCACTTTAATGCATAAATACCACGGAATTATACCTGTTTAATGCACGACGTATAAAGGGTCGTGATAAAAACCCTATTGTAGTCCGATCCTCGGGATCTGAAAATCAGCTTTTAAGTAATTGAAAATGCTCACAAAAATGTCTCCGATTTCACATAGTAACGTGAATTTACCCATGGAATTTCTTCAAAGTTCATCATTATAGTCAATCATATTATATAGGGAAAATTATCAAATCTCAAACATATTTTCAGGAAATGCGAATAAAAACACCAGCATTTTCTAATTGAAAATTGATCAACAAATATAATTTACTATAGAAAAATATAGGTATCCAGGCATTTGGAGAAAATGGCATCTTTTTACAGCTTATACAGAAATAAAGTTCCTCTTTTTACTTCAATTTTCATATAATACATAGTGTAAAAAGCTTGTGCTATCATTGCTAGACATCACATATCATATCTAATCTCATATCATGCTAATAAGCAGTAGTATCTAATGCTAGACTAAAGGAAATTTGATTTCTCTAAAAATGAATTCATTTTTTTCCTTTAATGGGGTACAAATGTCAACTTTTTACAAGACCGTTTCTAAGACTTTAAAGAACCTCGAATCATATTAAGATGCATAAAATGAAAATTGTTGCACGAAAAGATCTCAATTCCAAGCCTCATTTTGAGACTTTTAAATAAAATAATAAATTTTTATGGTATTATTCTTCCTGGCTGAGGATCGGATATCCTTGAATACTATAGTCACTTTCCACAGCCGAGGGTCAAACCCAATCACAAATATACATCGACTTATTTCTTTCTTTCTCTCTCTCTCTCTCTCTCTCTCTTTTGGCTGCAATTTTTGTCAATTATGAAGAAAAAAGATCAAATTCATGTATCCACATTTGTAATTACTAGCTCATTATTTTGATCATTTCTTTCTTGCAATATATAGGGCACATCGTATCCTACAAATTCTTTGACTCCACTTCTTTTTCTCCATTTTCTTTTCTTTTTTGAAATATCTTGTGGGCATGCAGACCGACCAACATGATAAATGAAACATGACCATTTTATTCTTCCTTGGCGGGAGAAACGTTAAATTATAAATCAAGTAGCAAAATAAAATCATTGTAAAACGCTTCATGTGTCCACCAGGTTTTTCTGTATATGTATCAAGGAACGGCATCAACTGTGATCAACCTTGTTCGATCGCCAAAGTTAGGATAAGATTTTATCCCATACATATAATATACGAATCTATAGAACACTTAAAGAACAGAAGAAAGTAGTAATGCAACATTTTTTATTAATTATCCTCACTTTCCTATGATGGGCGCTTCAAACGCTCTATAAAAATAAAAAAAAATTATTTAAACCCTCAAAGAGTAAGAATATATATATATATATATATATATATATATATATATATATATATATATATATATATATATATATATATATATATATATATAAACCGTATAAATTAACTTCAGTGCAATAGGGGTGAATGTAAACTCACGATGATTCACAGATAAAGTGGTGAGGAATGGTGCAAGGAAGATCATTCCAGTGGTAATGGAAATCTCCCCTAAGCTCCATACAGTCCTCGCCATTAGCGTCATCAGGTTGTCCTGGATTCCAATCCGTGAATGTCAATGGTGCGTCAGATTTCACCCACTTAAATACCCCCTCTATTTCAATATCATTTCCACCCAACCAATAAGAAACTTCGTTTTGATCTGCCGATGAAGCTAATGAAATAAAGGAAATAAGATAATAATACATTTAAGAACTCGGATGAAATCGGTGTTCTTGTCTTGCTTACTGTGGTTGTGAATAACCCTCAGGCGGGACTCCAGGAAGTTGCTCTCTGCCTTTGTTTCAATCTCCGTCAACATGGAGTTCATACTCATACAATACGCCTAGAGTATGTGAATAAAGCTTAAATTATATGATTTGTACATTTATACTAATTAATATATCCATAAAGACGAACAGTGACCATTCTCAAATGTCCATTTAGATAATACATGTACAAAATATGAGCAGAGCTCTAAGAACAGATGTGGGATCAGGTGCCATGGAGAAGTAAGCATCTCCTGTCGACCGATCAATCCCATCGTGTGCTCCTTGTCATGATAGGGAAAATGGGAAAAAATCAGTAGAGAATTCAGTGTGAAAATGATAGCCGAACAATTTGTGCAATATGTCACGCAACATTCGACTTATCGACAGATTGAATTTGCATAAAAAGTCATTGAGAATTTGCGAAATATTGACTTTAAAGGAGATTGTTGATATCCTTGTATCATCAACTTTTTTGTCAAAAGCTTGCCTCTTTTTAGAGATTATTCGTACGTAGAACATGCTCTTGCGTATCGAATCAACTGGGAGACATAAACTCCATTGGTAATGGTATATTGCTACATAAATAAGGGAAGTTGACGATAGAAAAGTTGAAGTCATCATATTTCTCATAAAGTTTAGCTTCAGTTTGCCATCAGTATCATTTTCTGGTAAAACATACAGATATGAAACAGATGCCTCAGACTCTGTGGTGTCTTTTATTTCGAGTTCAGTGGATACATCGAATCAAGGCAGGAATGAAGCTGAATATTGTTAATTGATAAAACGTCGTCGATATATCTAAATGTCGAATTGAAGGCCATATCAATGTAGATTTTTTTTTAACTCTGCTTCGTTCAAATAGAAAAAGAGGTCTGCTAATAACGGGCACAATTGCCACCCATAGTAATCCCAACAGATTGAAGTAAGACCTGGTGTCTGAAAACTAAAATCTAATATCATCTGTTTAAAGAAAAAAATACGGTTAAAATTTGATATGAATTCCAATGATAAGTTCTGATGATTATATTGAATTTGAAGTATTAATATTTATCATTTGAGGTTATAATTATATCTTATGTTCAAAAAGTAGAATTAAGAATTGAACAAGTCTATATTGTTTTGTATGTTTGCTCAAATGTTGTTAGCTTTTAAAATGCACGTACTAGTTAAATCAAAGGAGTGAAACAATAGAATGAGTGTTTTGTCTGAAATTTCTAGCTGGGAAACGTAATTTCGGTGTTTACATATACCTCAGCTTCCGGCCACGTGGCCTTCTGGGTCCCAAAGTAATAACAACTTTCTTGGAAAAATTCCCATCCTCCCCGACAAGTTCCAATCTGTGTATAGCCTTAAACATCGAAATAATTATTAGTATTAATATGTAAATTGTTTATTCATAAAAATGGAACAAATAATCGCGAATTTGAAACATTGTAAATTGGAAAGCAATTTCAAAATATTCTTTAATTCAGATATGCATTTTCTTATTTAGTCTTTTACAAATAAATTAACATAATAAATTATAAAACAAGATGTGTTTGTGAAACACTATGCCCCCGATGCTAACACAATTCTGGAGTGGGAAGTAGTCTACAGTGCAATAGTTATGGCCAATGTTATTCAAATGTAGGTCAAAGGTCACAGTTGAGGTCACATGATCAAAAATTTCTGTACCAATGGAAAGGTCTTGTCATAATGAACACTCATGTCAAATATTAAAGCCTTACCCTTGACAGCGCAATAGTTATGGGCTAGATTAAAGTTGACAACGGACAGACAGACAAACAGACAGACAGGACAAAAACAATATACCCCCGGGATCTTTCGATCCCGGGGTATAAACAAGATACACTATTCAATAAAGGTATTTCTTTACCCTTTCCGTCGCCCATACAATTTTACGAGGCTTAATTCTTATATCAAAACTTCCACACTAACGCACTGAGTACAAACCTTTCTCAATGAACAACAAAACAAGAAGTAGGCAATGTCGAAACATCATGAGGATGAGTTAGAACAATAGTATTTCTTAATGTTTTGTTCTGTACTTAAACATGCGTATACAGAGAAACTTGTATGTGTTATCAGTAAATATAGAGATAATAGAAGTAGAATACTTAAAACGGTCATACTTTGGAGAGAAATGTGTCCTACATATATATTCTTCAAGAAAAAATTGCATTTAATGTCATAACACATACACACACACGCACACACCCTCCCTCACGGACACACACACACACATAGAGAGAAAGAGAGAGAGAGAGAGAGAAATGCACACACATAAATTTACACACACGCGCACTAGGTAGGAAAAAAAATAAATCTTGACATACATTTAACTAAAATCCTTTTTTTTTTTTACTTTACTCTTGGCAGTTCTACTGGAGACGCTCATTAAAAGAAAGTAAATTTAATTTTATATCAGCCTGTAGAAACGGGAGGGTGCTTACCCTTCCCCCATTAATTAAGTATATATTTACATTGGGAATTGAAGCTATGAAGCTGTGTTGGGGATTAAAAGCATGACTTTGTCTCGCTTGTTAATGCCTTAGAGGAGAGATTTGTGCCCTCAAATCAAAATACCTGTATACGACAACGATTAGACAACAAGCGATAGAAACTTTTCCAGAACTAGGACAGTCCATTAAAAAACTCACAAACTTGGCATATCATACTGCACCAAGGGATGTACAAGAAACACTGGCAAAAGAACAGTTTATCGATGATTGTAAAATTCTAGAAACTTAATCTTTAGGGGATTTTAGTATTCCAAAATTAAAAGAAGGTCATCCCTGGTGATATCGTTTTATAATTAGCTCACCTGAGCTGAAAGCTTTAGTAAGCTTTTCTGATCACCTCTTGTCCATCTGTAAACTTTTCACATTTTCAACTTCTTCTCAAGAACCACTTGGCCAATTTTAACCAAAGTTGGTACAAAGCATCTCTGGGTAATGGGGATTCTAAATTGTTGAATGAAAGTCTCCTTCCAAGGGGGAGATAATCAAGAAAAGGCAAAAATTGGTCGGGGTCATTAAAAAAATCTTCTTTTCAAGAACCACTGGGCCAGAAAAATGGAAACTTATGTGGAGGCTTTCTGAGGTAGTGTATATTCTGAATTGTTCAAATCATGGCCCCGGGGGTAGGGTGAGGCCACAATAGGGAATCAAAGTTTTATATTGAAAAATTTAGGAAAACATCTTTAAAAAATCTTCATCTCAAGAACCACTGGACTAGAAAATCTGAAACTAATGTGGAAGCTTCCATGGAATACATGTATATAAGGGAAAAAAATCTGATGCAGAACAGTAGGGCCAAAGTGACTTACGTGAGCATTGTGGCTCCTGCTGGACCTCTAGTTTTCTACAGTCGTCTATAAATATGAGAACTTGGACTATAATTTAAAACATATGTGACAATCTGATGGAGATTTATTTCATACAAACTTTTGACGGGAAGCTGTAAGAACCGAGAAATCAAGAATTCTACTCTGATTCTGTGTACAGCGATACTCCGATAATGCTTCTTATATGTATATAGATCTATGGTAAGTTTATGCTTTTAGTGAAATGTGAGAAAGCATTGTTCAAAGTGAGTACATTTTACTTTTCTGCACGGTCAACGACTTAACTACTTGGCAACGCTACCCATGGATGGGGGGGGGGGGGGGGCTAACATCCGTCATCGCAGTAGCCAGTACATTTATTGATTAATAGTGACATTTCATTGAGGTATAATAAATCTTTTTTTTTGTTTTTAATTTATGCTCATTATAATTTATTTTACAACGCAAAGAATTTTCACAAATAGAAGTTTCGATGAATTTACAGTCTCATTTGCAGACTCTCTCAGTAGGAGCCGATGATAGAGAGTGAAACCATGCCCATGGATAAAGCAGAGGTTTATCTTATGGGAAGCATCCACAAGTACTAAAATAATCAACCTTAATTGTTTGTCATTATTATATTAAGGGTTTAAAAAAATCATTACAGAAACATTTAGCACACACCCCTCTTCCAAGATGCAGTATCTTACAAGGTATGGCGACTATATGTCTTTAAGTATGCAAAATTTGATTCGGACATGGTTGGACTCTCCCAGATGAGTCAATTCAACCTCAGTATTTTGATGTTTCGACACCCTCTCCCCACCCCACCCCTCTCCCACCCTCTGATTGACAATATTTAAAGTACTCAAGATAGTGAGAATAATCATAAGCATTTATATTTAAAGAAAACTGAAAAATATAGTATATTATGAGTATGAACAGAGAATAGCTCTCTTATTAATACGTCTTTGATATTTTTTCCTGGAGGGAAAAATTAAATCGATCGGGATCGGGATATGAAAATTACATAATGAACAACACCCGACTTCAAGGCTCTGCGAAATGATTACTTTGTAGAAAAACTGATATAATTTGATATAATTTACAGTATATACTTTAAACATATACTTCAAAATAACTTTTTTATCCAGATTTCAGGGAATCACAGCAATATTACACGTTCAATCTGTAATGCTTTAGTGCATTTGAAGAAATTGAGATACATTTACTTTCATTTTATTTATATTCATTTATTAGGTCACCTGAGTCACTCAGGTGACCTATTGCTATCTGTTTTCGTCCGTCGTCGTGCGTCGTATGTTAACATTTGAACATTTTCAGCTTCTTCTCTGAAACCGCTGCACCAATTTCAGCCAATTTTAGCATATGGCATCTATGTGTGAAGGGGAACAAAATTTGTGAATTTCATGGTCCCTGCCCCCCTGGGGCCTGAGGGGTGGGGCTAAAACCAGCAAAAATTAATGCAATCTTTAAAAATCTTCTTTACTCCTGGACATCAAGCAGCCAAACTGTTGGCATGATTGTAATAAGCATTGAGCCCTCTACCAAAATTGTGAAATTCATGGCCCCAGGGTCAGGGGTTCTGGTGCTAGGGCGGGGCTATATAGATTTTATAGTGAAAGTGCATTATTTCTTTGAAAATCCTCTTCTCTACTCCTGGGTAAGGGTGACTCTACCAAAATTGTGAAATTCATGGCCCCAGGGTCAGGGGTTCTGGCCCTAGGGCGGGGCTATATAGATCATATAGTGAAAGTGCATTATTTCTTTGAATATCTTCTTCTCTACTCCTGGGTATTATTTAAGCAAACTAAGTACATTGTTATGATATGCAAGGATGCCTCTTCTAAAATTGTGAATTTCATGGCCCCAGGGTCAAGGGTTCTGGTGAAAAGGGGGGGGGAGGGGCTCTATTGATTATATAGTGATAAAGCAAAATTTCTTTGAAAATATTCTTTTCTGCTTCTGGTTAAAAAGCAAAGAAGCTAAGTATATAATTATGATGAGCAAGAGTGCTTCTTCCAGAGTTGCAAATTGCATGACCCCTGGGTCAGATGTGTTGGTGTAAGGGTGGGGCTCTTGATAATATAGTGAAAATGCATTAATTCTATCAAATAATCCTGTCAGCTCCTTAGTGTTAAGCATATAAGCAAAGTGATTACTTATGATGAGCAAACCTCTGGTCCCAGGGTGAGTGGCTCTGGTGTTTCTCGGTGGGGAGGGGGGGGGGGGGCTCTATTGATAATGTAGTGAATCTATAGTAAAAATGCATTCTTTCTTTAAAAATCTTCTCTGCACCTGGGTATATCAGAGGCAAAAAGAGTAAAAGTTTTAATAAGGAAGGGTATTTTTACCAGAATTTTGAACATCTGGACCATTTGGTCAAGTGTTCTGGTCCTGGCCAGGGCTCTATTAATTTGTATTCTACTGAGAGGAGTTATTCCCCTTTGCCATTTACTTTTGATAATTAATCACTGTAAATAATGTACTTGAAAGGTTATTAGAATAAGAAAATTTTGCAAGAATTTTTATTGTAAAATACAAAACAGGTAGACTTGTAAGTAATAGATGAATAAAAATGAGACAAAAATAACTTGTCTTATTAAATGTTCATGAAAGACCAAGAGAGGCCAATGTAAGAGATTTCAACAAGGAATTAAAATAGTACAGAAGCACTGATAGTTTGTTAATGTACTGTATGGTGAAAGTGATAAATGGGAACAGATTAGAACCTAATTTATGAACTGTTAATGAATACAAGAATAATTATTTTGTTGATCCTGATCACCCTATTTTTCTTGCTTTTGGGCAACAAAGCTTCACCTTTCAGTTCATTTTATACTCAATGGATCATCTAAATTGTTGTGTTATACTCAGGTGACCGTTAAGGCCCTTGGGCCTCTTGCTTTATTTGTTTCTTTCTTTTTGTTTTGCTTAAACACATATCAATACCCCAATTACTAGAGCTCACTACTTCATACAAATATTTTCTTTTCTTTTGGTCTTGCTATGGGGAAAAAGAAACTTTCACTTTGGGATTCCCAGATTTTAAATAACAGTCTTTATCACTACTCAGAAATATAAATTATTTAATATTTGTTATTATGTACATGTCTCTGCCTTATTTTTATGGATATAATTTGATAATAAGAATTATTAATTTTTTTAAGATTAAATCTATTTGTCTATTTCAAGTTTCTTTCAAGACTGAGTGCTTGCACACTGGACAGAAGATAGATTTTCAGGGAAGAAATCAACTTTAATTACAAATATAGGCACCATGGAGAAACTTATGTTTTTTGTTAATGGCAAGAAAGTAAGACGCTAATTTTTTTTTTTTTACAACTGTAACTAGCTCCACCCAGCTAAAGATAAAAAATTTAATAGCTGGTTATATGTTTAATTAATTTACACATATTTTACATCTCCAAAATCACTAGGCTTATTACGACCAAATAAATTAATTCTGGTTGTGACATTCCATTTGATTGGATAGCAAAAAATTGTTTATATCTTATTATAAACTTGTTTTGCATACTTCACAATGAATTATAACAAAAACATATCAATCCACTTTATGTATATTTAAAATTTGTAGAATTAAAGGATTTTTTGAAGGGAAAATAGTCTTTTTTTAACACTTAATGATAGAAAATTAAATTATAAGGAATAAAATTTAATAGATTCCCAAATTATACTTGTATAACCTGGATTTATGGAACAGTTTGTGCTTTGTTATAAACTGCTGATGAACCTTCGAGGTTTATAAAATTAAGCATAAACTGCCTCAATCCAGGTTATACAGTATGATTTGGGTAGCTATTAAATTACGTCTTTAATGGCATCATTGGGAATCTTTCCATTTTAATTACTTACAAGTTTATGAGATAGATATATATTTTTTATATCAATTATTGAGATGAAACACAAAACCATACAAATAGGTATTGTTTATTACGGACAAATGCATCTTAAGAATTTTTTTTTTGGCAGATTGAGGTGAATGGTAATGATTTAGAATATGGAACAACACTGTTGTTTTATCTCAGAAATAGATGTATCCTTTTTCCTCTTCAAGTACCGGTACTTTTGTTAACTTTTTGCAATAATTTTTCAATAATTTTTGTTGTCAACTAAAGTTTGAAACTAAAATTCTAACTGATTATTCCTTCAAATTAATTGTATTTTAAATTTGTCATGCAAACCAGCAAATAATTGATGTTCACAACACATTTCTTTTACCTTTTTTGATGTTCTTATCTTCCTTAACCTGAGTGCAAGTGCACCTAACAGGAAGTAAGAATGCCTGTGGACAGGGAGAGTGTGGAGCATGCTCGGTTATTTTGTCAAATTTTGACCATCATTTGCAAAAAATAAGGTAAATCATTTACTAAATGTTTAATTTCATCTTAAAAGCAGTACAGTGTCACCTCATTTTTGCTTGATGTACTGTTCAACATGAAATAGCTAGAGCATAAACAAGAGTCATTGATCCTAAACATTTTTAGTTTCTTAGACATTTTTAGTTTCATAGACATTATGGTGACCTCAAGATCTCTGTGTGGATTGAGTGTAAATTAACTTATGAAATTTTCAGCTACCTTTTTAAACTTTTTAACTGCATGGAGTTGGTTCATGAGCATATATTAAAAAGTCCAAAATATTGATCTTCATGGTCATTGCCTCTCTCGGGGGCCTTAGGATGGGACCAAAATGTCTAAAATCAATGCATTTCCATGATAAGCAATGGACCTTTTATCAAGATTCACCTTTGTTTTGAATATCTTCACCATGCCTTTTCCTGATGAAGAGCTTAATTCACAGTCATTCTCTTGGGCCGGGACACATGGTCAAAGGTCATGGCGCTAATACATGTACAAAAAATGATCAGGAAAATTTAGCTTCTGACATATAGGAAGCTTTTGTTGAGAATATTCCTAGAAAAATTGCTGCATGATACTCTGTTAATCAGTAGAGCTTATTGCATGATACTCTGTTAATCAGTAGAGCTTATTGCATGATACTCTGTTAATCAGTAGAGCCTATACATATTGATTATGCTTTCTTATTTAGAGTGGCGTAAGATACAATTATTTTGATATGGATTCACACCTAATGTTGACACTTTGTAGAGACAAAGCAAAAACAACAAACAAACATGAAATCAATGCCTTCACATGGAGCTTTTTGATGGACGAGGTTCAGATATTGTTATAATTTTCTTTAATTTGTTGATTTTTTTCATCTTTGCAAGTTCATTTTGTGATAGTTAATATATGTGTTGCATTTATGATTATAAATGTGTGTACATTAATTGATCTCACATATACATGACTGAGAATGTATCGTTTGACTTCACTGTTCTTCATGTATGTG